AGGTATGTGCTGTAATAAAGCTGAACAAGTGTGTCCTTCTCAAGAAAGTTTTGTCAGCAGTGGATTGGATTGCATAGCTTACATTGTACAAATAACATATAAGATTTTAATTGAGTTTCCATTTCAAATGAGATTTTATGACACTAGTCTTGGAAGTTCTTTTTTATTTTTGCAAGAAAATATGAAAAACTTTTAGACAAGTTTCATAAAATCTCATATGAAAGAAAGTCAATGCAAGATATTTTTATCACACAACATTTTGACAAGTTTGAAAGTAAAAGTTTGGATTAGAATATCAAACGGTGGTACCCATTTTGGTTGCACCATTTTGAAATCATGACCTTACATCATTGTCCATAATAGGACATCACAATCATTTTCCTACTGGTGCAACCAATGCAAATGCTCTCAGATATAATACATTAGTGAGATATATGCAAAAATATTACATGTCTGATGTCATTGGATAACAAGCAGTTTATGTGATAAAAAAATGTGTTTCAGGTTTTCAAGTACTTCACCCCCAGTCAAAAACAACATTTTAACCATCACCATCAGAAAACTTCCAACAACTTGTCAGAATTATTTTTGATATTTATGAAATTAAAAAAAAAAAATTCTTTTCCACTTAATGATACATCAGAAAAAGATATCAAACAATTAATTATAATGCTGAAATGGTTTGATGAAAATTTACTGAAAAATTATGTCCTAAATAACAATATTCTTAACAACAGCAAACCTTTAACAGTGAATGGAAGTGTTTTCAGACCAGGTCTAGAAAGTAATTACACAGTGATGAGTACTGTGTCAGCGGTATCTTTATGGCTTTTGATAACATCTTTGGCAGTTTGGATTTCGTGCCTGTTCAATAAAAATCACTCGCGTACTAAAAAACAAATACTTTTAGTTTCCTTTGGTATTTCAAACCATATGTTTAATTTTTTTCATTTCAACTATCAACATAGGAGAAAAATCGGGAAATCTTTAATGTTCACAAAGCACTGCATGAGAAAAAGCAATGACATGAAGGAACTGATCGATGTGGAAAGGGCGATCTGATACTATTGTTACCTTGTCTTTCATCCTTTTGATGCGACATTTATACTCAATATGTAGTCTAATTCATTCCTGAGAGCTATTTCAGATTATTTGTGATGCTATGCAACTAGTCATGTGTAGGACATGAATTTCTTGTGAAACTGTGTATCAATCCATCACCTATAATTAATATTAGACATTCCTCTGTTAAAAAGGACCACAACAATATAATTATGAGACCACGTAAGATTAGGCAGTGACTGGATCAATCAAATATTATGTGGCTCTGGTCCATTTTGTTACCTAGTTTTACACCTGTCCAAAGTATTATCTACCTGTAGACACATGATCACTAAAGCCTCCATACATTAGTGTATATATATATATATATAGTCCTGCTCCCCTCCACACATCTAACAAAGTACAGGTATTGCTGTAGGTTATAACGAAACACAGCGTGGATCACAATCACCATCTCTTCTACACAACCTCCTCAAACCTCTATATAAGTATATTGAAGTAAGTATAAAATCTGTTGATTCCAACAGGTAGCAACTGAATTTTATTTTTCAATAAACACTTGAACTTGGAATATGAAAACCTAATGACAAACTTCACTAACATTGATTTTCACCAAAATCCATACTTAATAAATGAAATCTTTAATAATAAATCTCAATATAACCAATTTCTGTCTTATATGTCTTAGAATCTTAACAGTAACAGTAATTTTTGAAAACATTTGAGCTTTTTAAGTCTAAATAAACATATGCATAATTCAGGTAAGCAATTTTTTTAAAGTTTTGCAGTCACAGAATTATATGCTATCACTGATTAAGACAATCACTCAATATGGTAAAAATATGTTTTAACAACAGAACATATCATACATCCAGCTAATGTTACAGAGGGTATAATTCTTAACAAAATATGACAAAGACTTGCACAAAGCATTACATAATGTAGAGTTAACCAACAATTCACTGTTAAAAACAAAGAATAAACAGCAACAAGAGAAGACGATTGTGATGAATGTGATCCCTACTGTACACTGAATATATAAGTTATACACAATTAATGTTGATCATTAACTAACAAAAAAAGGATATACCCGATTTATTTGGAACCACCACATTTTAAGATATCACAAATATAGATTAAAACTAATAATTAATTGTAATTAATTGTTTATAAATTAAAATGAGACAGCATTAATCAATTCACAAGCATCATAAGCGAAGAAATTTTACAACAATTATCAACAATTTAATTCTACAACACCCAAGGAAAATCCAATAATAAGCGTCCTAGCTTGGACCAGATTAGTTATGAAACAGGTACTACAAACATATTATAAATAGGGGTTGGATATTTTAAATCTAGGATCAAACTGAAGTTTTAATATACTTTTATTCTACATTATCAGATTTATTCTGAAATTCTATGGTCTTTTTTTAAATATGGATTTGATGATAAAAAGTCAATAGAACATGAGAATGATTCTGACATAAAACAATATGGCAAGAAGGTAGACATGACACTAAAATCTGCACCAACCTTACATAGTAACTATCAACATCGTGATTAAAAGAAACAAGTTAAACATTAAGACCGTGAGTATTGAATATGTAATACTTAAACTGCCATTTTCTCTAATATAACTGTAAGATATAAACCAACAGTGTTTAAACCAATAAGAAATATAATAAGATTAGGGTTAATAATTTTCCAACAGAACATCTGTAATGAGTTGGAATAAAGTTCCAACAGAACATCTGTAATGAGTTGGAATAAAGTTCCAACAGAACATCTGTAATGAGTTGGAATAAAGTTCCAACAGAACATCTGTAATGAGTTGGAATAAAGTTCCAACAGAACATCTGTAATGATTTGGAATAAAGTTCCAACAGAACATCTGTAATGATTTGGAATAAAGTTATTTGGTTAATGCACACTAATAAGAAAATCTCCTCTAAAGAACACCAATGATATATATTGTGCAGCTAGATCATCTCATTCGATTGTCATCAACTTATCAATTAAAAAAAATGGCAAGCAAGTCTTCCTGGTAGAATGCCAATAATTGTAAAATATAATCCCATAGGATATCTTCAAGCCATACAGTTGTAAAAAGTACACTCTGTATGGGAAATCTGTAAAGTCCTCCAGTAGAAAACATACCACACAGAATATCTCAATATTGTGTACATCGTAGTTATTCCATTGAATTGTAATTAATTCATGAGATAAAAATTAAATATTAATTTTCATTTATAACTCATAGAAAATCTATAGAAGTGTACATGTGTAGTTGCCTTCAAAGAAAACCTCACGCTATTTAAAGGGAGATAACTCAAAATATTCTCTAAGCATATTGGAAGTCTATAATATTTATCATCTAGTCTGGTCAAGTGACTATCAAAATACAATACCAAAGTTTTACATCCATTAGATAATAGTTTCATGTACTAGTTTAATGCAACAGTGATATCTTAACTTGAAATTATACAAATATATTGGAAAAATCCCATAAAAAAGATCATTATAAATGCCACATTTAATCTGTATTTTCAACTAAAAAGGTGAAAAGATTTTATCTAACTAACTTTGAAATGATATCACAAGACATGTCTGAAAAATTCTGGAATTATTTTTAAAAATATATAGAGAATTCAAGATTTGATACTGGTCTGAAGTTTGCGGAGCTGGAGCAAGTGTTATTTACCATATAAGGTAATATAAATCATTTTGAAAATTGAGCAATAAGAGAGATTAATAAATGTTTGATTGCTGTCAATTATCATGTGATGCGTTTTTTTGGAGTTACATGTAGTATACCTTTGTAATCATCATTCTAGCTTGGATCTATCAGATCAATAATATTTATTCAAGGACATTTTCTAAGCAACATGACATTGTATCGAACATCTATTAAAATTAACTGCCAATCTTTTGTAAAGTTTTAAGTCATTATAATATTGGTGTTATTGACTGTGCTAGTGATAAAGACATTTCTGACCCAGAGATATGTATAATGCTGTACTCCCAAAAATGTAGCATTAAGAAAATACAATATTCAATAGAAACTTAATAAATATTTATATACAGTGAAAAAATTCATCATCATCTGACAAAAAATGTGGGTATTGCTACAATGTAATCTCTGATGTTCTATCACAGCTGTAGATCTACAATAGGCATATTGTAATAGAAATTACACAGTAATGAAAAACTAGTATTTCACTTGAACATGTCTACATCAGTATGTGAAAATTTTACAGAATGTATGAAATGGTTATAAGCTTTATATTATCATTTATACTAGTACAATGAATCTCTTCTCAAAAATAGCGTAATTTCTTAGTGTTTCTACACCAAGTGTGAAAGAAAATCATGTACTCATAGATTGTAAGGTAAACCTGTGAGGCCAGGACATCCATCTCTCCTAGGATTTCTGCTGAAGTGTACTCCCTTCCTTCAAAATCATGTCACCATCTTAAGCAAACACTTGATATTACATAGTACCACAGTAGTGTATTGTGTCCTGGAGGGTAAGTGTATTCCACACAACTTTATAGATATAGCAGCATGGGAGGAAGCTATTATATAACTTAATCTTCCACGAGTTGAAAGTTTTGTCCCAATGTAGCTTACCTTCAGAGACCTTCTCAAAGACCCCAATTCTTTCTCCACTCCGTCTAGTTAAATAGTAGTGTTGAGAACATTGAACTACTCCTGTGACACTCTTACACAGTTCACTTCTCCTTCCCCTTATTCCAGTAATATACACTTGAGAACATTGTACTGCTCCAGTATATAGTCTCAGAAACATCAGTTTTCCCATCCTTCTGTAGAATTATACTGTAGACTTGAGAACACTGTACTGTTCCAGTGACATTCTCACAGACACCAGTTCTCCCATCCTTCTGTACAGTTATATTGTAGACTTGAGAACACTGTACTGTTCCAGTGACATTCTCACAGACACCAGTTCTCCCATCCTTCTGTAGAATTATACTGTAGACTTGAAGATACTGTACAACACCAGTGATATTCTCACAGACACCAGTTCTCCTATCCTTCTGTAGAATTAAACTGTAGACTTGAGGACATTGTACTGCTCCAGTGACATTCTCACAGACACCAGTTCTCCCATCCTTCTGTAGAATTATATTGTAGACTTGAGGACATTGTACTTTACCAGCGATATTCTCACAGATATCAGTTTTCCCATCCTTCTGTAGAATTATACTGTAGACTTGAGGACACTGTACAACACCAGTGACATTCTCAGACTCCAGTTCTCCCATCCTTCTGTAGAGTTATATTGTAGACTTGAGGACATTGTACTTTACCAGCGATATTCTCACAGACATCAGTTTTCCCATCCTTCTGTAGAATTATACTGTAGACTTGAAGATACTGTACAACACCAGTGATATTCTCACAGACACCAGTTCTCCTATCCTTCTGTAGAATTAAACTGTAGACTTGAGGACATTGTACTGCTCCAGTGACATTCTCACAGACACCAGTTCTCCCATCCTTCTGTAGAATTATATTGTAGACATGAGAATACTGTACTGCTCCAGTGACATTCTCACAGACACCAGTTCTCCCATCCTTCTGTAGAGTTATATTGTAGACTTGAGAACACTGTACTGCTCCAGTGACATTCTCACAGACACCAGTTCTCCCATCCTTCTGTAGAGTTATATTGTAGACTTGAGAACACTGTACTGCTCCAGTGACATTCTCACAGACACCAGTTCTCCCATCCTTCTGTAGAGTTATATTGTAGACTTGAGGACATTGTACCTCTTTAATGACATTCTCACGGACCCTAGTTCACGTTCCACTCGGTCAAGGTTTTCCTCTAATTCCTCCTGCAGATGTATGCAATATCATGTCAAATTTATCACCATCAATTTAACATCTCACAAACCAACTTTGAATCTTAAAGTCAGATCTATAATGAAATACAAGTAAATTGTATTAAAGCTGAATTTAGCAGTAATAATATTTTTGATGTCATCTTTTTATCATAACATATATAAATAAGAAAAAACATCTGAAATTCTGTTAAATACTTATCCTAAAAATCTAACAGACCTTTTCTAATAATTCTTTGTTTTTCATAAAGCTGAAACATTTAGGCTCTAGCAATAATATTTTTCTTCAAATGTTCAGGAAATGTCATTATACACTGTTGGTTGTTGAGACTGTGTTATTGTTTACTTGTTTGAGATAAAGAATCAGTATGTTTAAAAGTTATTGTATGACATTTTCAGAAAACAAGATAAAATTGGATGTTAAAATAGTTACAAGAATAAGATAATATCTTACTTATAGTTAAAAGAATAAGATAATATCTTACTTATAGTTAAAAGAAAAAGATAATATCTTACTTATAGTTAAAAGAAAAAGATAATATCTTACTTATAGTTAAAAGAAAAAGATAATATCTTACTTATAGTTAAAAGAACTAGAAAATGTCTGTAAGACATGAATGCCCCCCCCCCCCCCCATGTGAAATAATAGTGAAAGGTCCGAAAGAGATGATTTTGTTAATTTGTATGCAACTATGTACAACTTAAGTTTCATACTTAAATTGACAAGTTGATTTAACATACATGAATTTGGAATTTTGTTCTCTGGAAAAAATGAGGGAGTATATTAGTTCCTTATGCCTTAAAACCCACAAGTACCAAATTATGTAGAAATAAGATGATGTTCCTCTTTTTTGAGTTATCTCCCCCTGGTGGCCATCTTTTTTAGAATGCCGAGAAATTCAACACTGCATGAGGTCTTTCCATACTTGATATTTGTATGAAGTTTCGTGAAAATTGCCTTCCGAATGAAGTTGTTAGGTGGTATATACTGATTTGGGACGCTACGCAACGGGACGGGACGGGACGGACGGACATGGGCAACGCTATATGCCCCCGGCCATAAATGGCGGGGGCATAAAAAGATAATATCTTACTTTCTTTTTCCTACTTTTCCCGTGGGATGGTAACCGACTGAGTGCAGATTCAAGCTGAAATCAAAAAATGAATAACATTATGATATGTTGGTAAATATTTTCTGTGAACAATTCCAGTACTGGCACCACTGTATCATTGTGTGTAGAGGGAATAAACAGAAACATGATACCCTTGGGTAATCCTGTGCCACTTACCTGGCGTTTCTCAGTATTAAGGTCATCATATCGATGTTCCATGTCCCCTATAGATCTAAGTCTATCCTTGATTCTGTCTTCACGAGACTGAAAACAAAACAGGGTTATATTAATGTAAGGTCCATCTAGTAAATCACTGACAAACGTTACTGTTTTTGTTACAACATGATGTCAAAATCAGCTTAATTTCCCCTCAAAATTAATTTTTTTGCAGGTTGATTATACATTTGAAGCAAAATCAATCTATTTTTCTTTTATATCGTGGGCCAGAATATAATTTTCCATATTATCATTTCTAATGTTTATGTTTTTATGGCAATTCTATATCATTCTTAAATAATTACAACCAGTTACCCATACAGTAAACCAAAAAAAAGTAAATGTAATGAAAATATGGCATGTGTGGATTCTGAGACAAACTGAGATATAAAACACACATTGATGGTAACAGAAGGAAAAATCAAATCACTCCACACTATGCAAGCATGAAATTTTCTTTCATTTCAGAACATGTAAACCTGCCTATATGACATCCAGTAAGTTGTTGTTTAGAGCCTGTATGACTTAGAGGGTTGTCATTGAGAGCCTGTATGACATACAGTGTGTTGTAATGGAAAACCTACATGATATACAGTAGGGTGTCGTGGAGGTCCTAAATGACTTACAGTAGGTTGCCGTGGAGGTCCTATATGACTTACAGCAGGTTGACGTGGAGGTCCTATATGACTTACAGTAGGTTGTCATGGAAAACCTATATGACTTACAGTAGGTTGTCGTGGAGGTCCTATATGACTTATAGTAGGATGTCTAGAGGTCCTATATGACTTACAGTAGGTTGTCGTGGAGGTCCTATATGACTTACAGTAGGTTGTCGTGAAGGTCCTATATGACTTACAGTAGGTTGTCTTGGAGGTCCTATATGACTTACAGTAGGCTGTCGTGAAGGTTCTATATGACTTACAGTAGGTTGTCGTGGAGAGGCTGGTGCAGCCTTTGGTTTAGAGGCCATAGACGTGTATTTATCTTCCCAGTCTGGTCTAGAGAGATAGTCCCCAGCTTTTACCCGGTCCAGCATCTCGTCCACAGTCATAGCCGGCTCTACACCTTCTGTAAAAGGGGGGTAATTATTGGTAAACCTATTGTAAAATAACTATTTACTAAAATGAACTTATTGTAACACCTGTATAAACAACACAAAATAATATCAAGTATAGAAATTTAACAAAGTGAGAAACATTGTCATTAAACAAGAAAAAGAAAATGACTTATAGAAAGTAATATGATACAAAGTAATTTACACTGATAAAGCATAAGGTTCATCAACATCAGTCTATGTTTAAAAACTTCAATCTATACAGAAAGCTACTGACTAAATACTTGTAGCTATTTAGCTATGAAACATTTAATAAGATTATTTCAATTTACAGTTCATTTCTCTCATCCAGTGTTTGATTATAACTTGTATGATACAGCATGACTTCCTGTGTAACAAGTATTAACATTCATATGTTAATTCAATCATAAATATTTAAGATACATTGAAGTCAAGACTTTCAAATGTAGGTGGTGAGAAAATGTGCAATCAATTTCCATCTTCATAATCATAATGAGGACAAAATCAGTCACCATGGCAACAAGAAAAATTACCCATCTATACGTTGATGTACTAACTATTTGACTTTGACTCTTGGCCGAAAGGTTACTAGTGAATGACATCCTAATACTGTCAGATTTCAATACTGTATAAACGTATATACATACTAATGTTGGGATAAAAGATTCAACATTATTTTCTTGATACTGTTTGTTCCATGTGTGACCCCTGTAAATCTAAACTGAATTGAAACTTAAAATAAACAAGAAATACATTAAGATTTCAGACCTTTAAACATATTAGTCCACTTTGAGACAAAATGAAATTCTTGGTTTTAATACTGATATAGTACATAGTTTTGAGTACACAGATGCTGTTTAACCAAACAGGTTACTGATTCAGATCATCAAATCTAGTACAGTACATAGTTTTTATTCAGTACATGAAAGCGGTTCAACCAAACAGGTTAAATCTTAAAATCATCATTAGTTAGGTCAGTTCAAATCATATGGATATAACACACCTCCAGCGCATGCTGGGATTCTTGATTTTGATTATAAATAGCTATATTAAGTAGAGGTCACAATCAATTATAAATGATATAAGTATAATTACACAATATCAAGACGCACCTTCTCCGTAAGAAAAAAAAAAAAAAAAAATTCCATTTGGTGTTGTCAAAAGCCATCTGTTTGTTAAGTTAGTCTATCTGATTGTTAGACACTCGACTTACTACGACAAGGGCGGGGCACACGAGGGAGGCTGGAGGAGCGCCTCCTCACACAGGGGCTTGGAGACCTAGATCTTGTTCGAGAACGCCCCCTCAGGGGTTTCATAACTGAACAAGAATGGCAGTAAAATGCACTGTTCATAATTCTGTACTTATTACTTCATAATTCTGTACTTATGACATATATCTGATCTTTTGAAGAAACTTGTACATATAACAATGCATGCAAATCTCAATCTCAACCAATCATCAACCAATTTCAAAATACATGCAAGAGGTCAGTAAATAAAAGTAAATAAAAACAAAACATAAATGGTGTTCATAAAACAAAAGCATGATAAAAATTTAAAATTTTTTTTTCGACATTATCTAGTAAAATTCAAACTTAAAAATATTACTGAAAGTTATTTCCCTTTTGTCTTTTTATCTTTGTTATTTAGCCGATTCAAATTCAATTGAAATTCTATGAAAAATTAAGTCTCAACTTATATTTTCACACCATATTTTCATAAAACATTTGCTTTATTTTAAACAATGAATATAAAAATGAAGGAATTACCATTAATCCAAGGCGACTTGTTTGTTGTTACTAAAATACTCCAATCTGATCAGATCACAAAATTCTAACAAAAGACATGCAGGCACCATGTGATGGTATCTTACCTTTCTTTTTCTTTCTGTCCTCTGTGCGGGTAGCATTGGAGTTATCACCTCCTGGTGGTTTCCTATTTGTCCTTACAACACCGTTAGGTTTGGGCTGACCATCACCTGGTGATCTTGTCACCTGATTGTCAGAATGGATATCAAATCTTGTCTGACTAGAAAAATCCTCTTTCCCGCTGTGATCTTTGCCTGATGTAGTTCTGCGTGACGAGGATTTTGTTTTAGAGTGCGTTGTATCTGATTTGGAATGCTTTGACGATTTCACTAACGGGGAATTAGATGCAGACTTTTTCTTTGGTTTTACACTGTCAGACAGCCTATCAGGGGACATCTCTGTCCGACGACTTTGCGTAATCACATCACTACCATAGAACTTCTTCTGTAACTTTGGCTGAGTAGGTTCCCTTGACGGTGTAGGAGAGTTCCGTAAGACGTCCCGTAGGCGATAAAGTTCCTCTTCTGCACGCATGACTGGAGACGACACAGATAGTAGTTCCTCCTCTCTCTCTGGTTCTAATCTTGACCTGGTATTTCTCGGTGGTGTTCTGGTTTTAACAAATTGATAGATAAAATATCACTCAGAACAAAATTTTTCAAAGCAAAACTAAGCATATTAAAAAGAAAATTATCTATTTATATTTTTACTAAGCACTTAAATGAAACTAGAAACTGCCCATAAAACAGGAAGGCCCTTCCTCCTATGCTAACCAGAATCTGATCAGGTGTATACCTTGATATTATGATACTAAAGCAGACCTTTAATAATCAAGTTACATTTGTTCTGGCCAAAAAATGTGTGAATTAAGAGTTTTCCCGACAGCTGTTGGGTTAACTGGCCAATCTAACCAAATTTATCTCCCTTGATTATGTATCGATAAAGATATCTGTATGATGCTGTTTGAATTATTTCCAAATGCCTCAGTAGTATTTACTGCAAATATAGATATTTATAAATGCTTAATTATGTTTTATTTTAAGAAATAATTGAGTATGAATCAAAATTACTGAAGTGAAAATTGTTGTTATTCATTTCAGTCCAATATACTAAACAGTTTATTGAATGCTTAACTTAAACATTTCTTTTTATATTATGACAAAATTTGGAGGAAAACTTAAACATATTGTTTGAAAACTTTACAGGACAAAGACTTAATGATATATCAATTTTATCAAGCATAGTAACACCATTAACTCTATCACAAAATCCACAGATGGAGAGCCCCAGGTAATTATCTGGCTGCAGTCGTACATTGTACATATGTTATAAATTATACAGAAACATCTTTCAATCCTGATATGTTTAGTCTCTGGAGAATGATACCGCTATCATCAGACAACTACTGTACTTACAGTGTGTCCTCGGTTCTGTGGAAGGAACCATTGAGGATATTCTCCTGACTCTGGCGAACAGAATTGTCCACTCCATTACTCTCCACATAGGGAGCTGATACAGGTTCTGTCCTAGAAGGAGTGCGACTGTCTGATGGGGGATGCCGCCTTGATGAGGTATGGTAGCTACTGTTATTTTCAAACTGATTTCTGGTTGGGCTGGGCTTACGAACAGAGGGTCTGGCAGGAGAAGGGTGGCGGTGATCCAAGGCTAAAGCTTCCTGCTGGACCCCTAAGGACTCATGCAGACTGTTGTAGATGGAACCTGATATATTGTGACTGTAAAAGGAAAAGAATACAGTTCATTTCAAGCAAAGAAACCAATCTGATAAATATGCGCAACAAATATTATCTAAATACCATTACATACCGATCAGTATGTCCTCCGGGCTATTAGATACTGACCAGTATATCTTTGGGACTGTTAGATACTGACCAGTATATCCTAGGGACTGTTAGATACTGACCAGTATATCCTAGGGACTGTTAGATACTGACCAGTATATCTTAGGGACTGTTAGATACTGACCAGTATATCTTAGAGACTGTTAGATACTGACCAGTATATCCTGGGGACTGTGAGAAACTGACCAGTAGATCTTGGAGACTATTAGATACTGACCAGGATATCTTTGGACCATTAGATACTGACCAGTATATCCTGGGCACTGTTATAGGTACTGACCACTATATCCTAAGAACATAAGATACTGACCTGACACCCTGAGAAATCTTGTGATGTAGGTTATCATTTTCTCGGCCCAGCCTCTTGTTCTCCAACTCAAGCTTGGTAGTAATTCTGGTCATTAAACAATTTATGTTATTATACAGAATTCTTGCTCAGCTTGTTGTAATAAGATAAATGCTCCTGTTTTAAACTAATCAAAATGATTAAGTAAAATGAAAGTGCAGATTTTAATTATTGTGAACTCCATCCTGATTAATCACAAGCCATCATTTATAAATGACATATAAAATGTAATAAGGAATTTGTAGGTGTCATTTAATTTTATATTTTCATTAAAAATTGATGTCTGTGACAATATGTACCTCTTCATTTCCACATTTTCTGTCCTGGCATCATATAACTTATTTTCTAGGTCATTGACAGATTCCTGTAACAGAAGAATAAGACAGGTATAATTTCATGATCCCTATACAGTACCCTCACCAGCACTTCTTGATGGAAACCAGCCATTCATAAATAAGCTATTTCTATCCTATGATTACTTGGAAATGAGACAAATATAATTTCTTTTCAGTGTTTGCATAGCCTATATTTTTTCTAAGTATGACTTTTGAAACCATCCCTAGTTATCTTAAAGCAAATAATATTCCCAATCCCATCCCCTCCTCCCCTTCACCAAATTTTCTTTTCCAAAATTTGATTAATCTAGGAAATTTTGATCGCATGGCAATTCCTAAAATGGTGAGAAAAAAAAATGCTACTGCATGTTTATGATAGTTAAGGATCTTTTACTGAAAATTTTTAAATGCAATAATTCCTGAAATAAATGAAGACAGAGTTTTAAAGTTTGACAAGGATTTCATTAACTATCATTTATACATAATATTATATATCATCTATATTACACAACCTTCATCTGTAATTAAGGTCATTTATATAAATACATACATATATATTATGAAATCCTCATCTTTCAGAGGCAATATTAATTCGTTTGATTGACTGTAATATCAACTTAACAGACATATTTACCTTAAGAATAGCACGCTCCCTCTCATTGGCCTGGAACTGTTCTACCAACTGAATAGGTAAACAAACTATTAATTCAAAGGTATTATTCAAATGGGGAAGACACAATATATATGCTGAGGTTTTGCAACAATATGAAATTTAAATAATTCATAAAATCAATTGCATGTCATACCCTTATATGATTTATAATTCAATATAAAAATTCATGACTTGATAAACATTTCAGTGATGTTCAATATAAACTGGACAATGACACTGGCGATTATCAGAAATGTGAACTATTTCTCAGAGCTTAATCTGAACTTTGACCTAGTAAGAGTGGATTAAGCCTGATATGGAGACAACGATTTTTCCTTTACAACAACTGTTCTTCTCACCTTCTCGAGAGCAGTACGATCACGGTGGATATAGGTTGCCTGATCCTCTTGGACCTTGAAACACAAAAAATAAGACATCATATAAATAGTGCGACCAATCTAAGTCTCTTATTCACTGAATCATGTAAACCTGGACTCCTTGACTGTTCTAGTTATATGGACATTTAATCAGATAAATTAAAATCTCTTGTTAAGGTTACCAAATAAAAACATTTAATATTTCTGAATCAGATAAATCTGAGCCTAAATAATGATTTATGACAAATCAATATATGTAAACTTAATGAGGTGAAATTGTTAAAAAAAAAGATTTTCTTCATTGGTACTAATCATCTTTTATGACAAATGATATCAAACAATATCCATTCAATCATGATCATGCTTATAGTAAATGCTTTTGTTTGAATATTTTTTTTACTTGAAATTCGGCAAAAAGAAGACAGAAAAAAAAGCAATGTAGTTACTTCCAATGTACCTACGTACTCTCCTGTTGTGTTTTACATCTATCTGTATTTGTTGATGTTTTGCTACTATAGAATACCTACTTTTTTAGCCTTCTTGAGGTTGTTTTTGTGTGCATTGTTCTCTGCCTTCAGCTGTTCTAATAAATCATCCTTCTCTCCAATACGGTACTGAAGTTCCTCTACTGTGCAGCGGAATGTGGAAATCTTGCCCTGGGCCTCTTTGTAAAAGTCTGCATATTCAACCTTAAACAAAGCAAGGGGTATGTCTCCAGTAAAATAACCTGGGCATAAATATTAGCTATAAACATAGTCAGGAAAAAAAAACAAAAAACAAAAAATAAAACAAAACAAGAAAAAGAATGAACTGTAATTTTGGTGCCGAGATGCCTGGTAATTAGGAATTTCAAATGAACACAACTTCACTGTGAAATGGTTCTAGAAATTAATTGACTTCTGACATAACAAAATTCCTAAATCAACTATCCTATTAGGTTAATGCCAATTAAAAAATCTCATTGGGGTAGCAAGATATGACAACTCGATCACTGAGCCATTGAGTAATTAAAACATAGCCTGAAACTGTCAGGTGCAAGTTTGATTCACAGGTGCATGGGATCTGGAATATATGTAACATATTCAAGGTGAGAAAAAAAATTCCTGTTATACTACTATATTTTCAGTTTAGTAGGATTTTTTCCTCTTTACTTGTACAAATGTATATGTTCTGTCACTCAAGCCACTGAACTCTCATTGTAACAGTGTTGAAGGTCTAAACATGATATCAAAGACCATATCTAATCAAGTGATTGTCTGATATAGTTAAAGACTTACAGCCCTGTCCTCTAAAGCCTTTACTTTCTGTTCAATCTCATAGTTTGTCCTAAAACATAAAAAAACAAATGTTATTAAACCAATACTATCAAAGTCATTTTTAAAGGTTTCAACTGAAAATAATAACCATTGTAGCACCTGAAATTCCATTCCTTAAGAATTTCAAAACAGCTTTTTGAAACCATATACACATTACAGGCGTATGTTATCAACTGATTCAATGCACTTTTCTTTTGCCAAGGGCTGCGCTGGCCAAGTGGTTAAGGTATCTGACTGTCTTCATCACTAGCCACCTCTTTTAGGTTGTGGGCTTGAAGCCTATATGGGGAAGTTGCTAGGTGCTCAGGGTTTTCCATAAGAACCGGTCACCGGCCAATTTGACCGGCTACTTTGATCATTTGGCCGCCTACACCAATCCAGTTCCGTAATAATGTTCCGTACATGACTACACGTACACGGCAGGCCAGCCTCCTACTTTCACTACACAGCCTACTACTAACAAAATTATGGAAAACCCTGGGTACTGTTTGCAGATTGGTGGTTCTTCTCAGAATCTTCTCTCTTTCCTTCACCACCCAAATCTTGCACATCCTTACCTGATGCTTGCTGCTGATAGGAACGTAAAGCAACAAAAAACTAAAATAAACACATTTCATTTGCCATATTTATTTTTGGTGTGAAATAACTCCCCTTACCTATTTGAGGTGTTTAATTTGTCCTCCAATTCAATAATTTTCTCTCTCTGTAACCCAATCTCAAGGTGAAGACTTTCATTTTCTGACACCAAATGTTGAAGTGACTTGTGTCCACTAACTGTGTCACTATCAGATGCCTTAAGTGCTTGTCTCAGAGCCTGAAGCTCTTTCTCGTAGTACTCTCGGAGGTCTGCCATGTGCTTTGCATGCTTTTCTCTCAATCCAACCCTTGTGCTGCTCAAAGATTGTACAAAAGACACACAAGTTAGAATAAGATGCAGTACAGCTAAAAAAATAATAAAAAATGAAACCAATAAATTTCTTAGTTTTGAAACTTAAAACTAATGTTTTATTTTTTCAGAAACTGATCCATATGGTACTCTTGTTAATTTCAATAAGGGCATATTTATCAAGATCCCCTGCCCATTTTCATTTGTAAAATATATACATTTAAAGTAAGCAACATGGAAATTGGAGAAAATATCAGCCAATCAGATCACAGCAGCCTTATTAAATATGCACAAAATTTGTCGATAATCAAACCTGAACAAGGGATTAAGGTAACAAATCTACAAAGCAAGTTTCCTAAAAATCTTATCATTCCTTCATAAGATAATGTGCAGAAAGATGTCTTATAGAGTGATTAAAGACATCAGGTCACCGCAGCCTCATTAAATATGTTCGAATTTGCTGTTAATCGAACCTGGCCAAGGGATTAAAGTAACAAGTGTACCAACCATGTTTTATCAATAACTGACCAGTTCTTCAAAAGATATCATGCAGAAAGCAGTATCATCCGAACAGACAGAAGGATGGATGGAACCAATTTGAATATCCCCCACGCCCAACAAAATTACAGGTGTGTGAAGACTCTATATGGTGTGTCAGTAACGTTTATGTTAAAGATTATTCTTGAAATTACAATAACTGGTGTGCTAGTACTCCACAGATGTGTGGTGTCATTCAGGTGTTACCTAGAAGAAAGATGAACATCGTCGGACATGGTGGCTGAACTATACAGCTCTGTATCAAAGCTCTCCTGCTGCTCCACAAGCTCACGATGTCGGTCCTCTAGCTCCCTCTGAAGTACAGAACTCTGGCGCTTCTCACTCATGGAAGGGGAAACAATCAATGGGTAGATCTCTTTGTTTCTAGGGGGTGTTGTAGGTTTGGCTGTTGCAGATGTCTACAATTGTAATGGTATAATTTGGCAAATTATTTTTAAAAACTATCTCTTTGTTTCATTTCTTTCCGCAAATCTAAACTAACAGTTTTCAGAAATGGTACAGAAATTTTCTTGACAAAAAAATATATTTAGTAACTAAGTATTACAACTGCAAACTATATGATAGATATTTTCAGTAAGCAGTTCAGCTATAGGTTTTGATGATAGAATTTTAGTTGTACCTTCAATTGACTGCTTTTCCCCCGGCGTATAGGCATGGGACTGCTATACACACCAGCCCTGGGTGGTGCCTCACTAAGATCTCCAGTCATCCTCTCTAGATAGGATCTAGATACTGGAGGCGACCTTGACCTAATTCTGGGCGGTGACCTTGCCCTTGGTGATCTGGATCTTGGTGGTGACCTTGCTTTTGGAGATCTTGATCTTGGTGGTGACCTTGGGTCAGGTGACCTTGGCCTCTGTGGTGACCTTGTCCTTGATGACCGTAACATAGGAGGAGATTTAGACCGTTGAAGCCTTGACCTCGGTGGAGATTTTGGTTTTGGAGATCTAGATCTCTCTGGTGACCTTGACCTTGGAGGTGTTGTCAACATTGGGGGTGAACTGTTGGCCCTCTGTGATGGTGATTGTTTGGGGGCCAGTGTAAATTCATTATCCAGTGATCGCCTCACTGGTAGGGGATCATCCATGGACCGCCTGACTTCCTGGTAAATTTCACGCCAAGAGGGTGAGTGTTCACGGGGATGTCTGGTAGAATCACTGTTTAGGGGTTGTCTTGGAGAATGATCCAATTGTTGTCGGGGGGATGTGTACGCTGATCTGTCTGATGATCTTTCACTCATCTCACTTCTATTGTCAAAGAAAATTAAAAAGGTGTTTTTAATGTTTAATCACATTAGTAAATACATGTACAGGAATTCTGGTATGTAAGGTTAGTAATGATGTATTTTTTCCTGGGATTCTTTGAAAATTCATAACAACTCAGAATTTGCAAGATGAAATAAATGACTGATGAAACATGTTTTATACCCATCAAATGCATGATAATGATAAATCACTAATTACCAGCAAGCAGCAGATAATTGAGTATTGATCTAAAACAGTACTAAGATCTAACCTGTGGATGTCTGACACCTGTGAGTCAGTAGTGTTATTAAATGAGCTATCTTCCAAAGCCTGCTTGTGAATCTTGAGTTTATGTCGTAGCTGCTGTTGTTGATCAAATAGCTCACTCTCCATTTTCTGCTGCATCTCAAAGATGGTGTCCTTATGCTGGCGTCGCTGGTGTTTCATCTCCTGTTCATGTTTCTCTTCCAGTGTCTTGAACATCTGCATCCAGCTGGTCTGTAAAAACAAAATAACATCTTATCTGAATAGGAATCCATTTTATTTGTCTCAATGACATATAGCCTGATCTCCAAACTGAGCCAGTGTAATTCACTATTTTAACATAACAATTTACATTACATCAAACTTAACAATTTCATTTAGAAGTCAGTATCAGTATATTTCACTGGTCTATCATCTCTGAACCTCATCATTCCTTGTCTGCAGTTTATTGGTTTTTTCTGGAACATGGTCTTCTTGACAGTGTTGACTACCTTCTACTTAATCATTGTTTAATTTCACAAGGTAAATATTTTGCTTCTCCCTGTTAGGGTAGTTCATAGGCTTAACATCTTAATATAACTATCTATCAATAGCATCTATTTACACAGGCTTATAACAAATGTGTTCTGAGGATTTGATTCACCATTAAAATGTTTGGTGGCAGATAATTTCATGCTTTAGTTACCATGAAGAGGTAAACCAATTTTCCTGTGAATATCACTAACTTTAAGTGTACAGTAACTAATGATAAACAAATCAATTTCAGAGATGGCAGTACATACAAAGTTTCATGTCAGACAGATACAATGATAGCGATTAACAATAAATTTATATTCTGAGTTGCTTTTGGCTTAAACACAATAATGTAGAGATATAACACCAGACACCTGTCTACAAGAATGTCTAACATCTGTATTCAGTGATTAGAATAATTTTAGGCAAAATATTTTAATTAAACTATATACATTTCCTGTATATCAAGTACATACCTGCTGCTCTTGTAGAGTTTTGAAATTTGGTATTGGTCCGGAACTTGGCGTAGACATGGAGACCTCATGACTACTTTGGACAGCCTGGGAATTAATCAGGGAGTTTGGCCACTGGGGCACACCAGTGTGCAAGTGTTCAGCTCCATACTCCCTGTAAATACGAGACAGAAGGGCTTTCTCCGTCTCTGTCAAGTCAGCTGATGCAGTTGGATCATTCCTAGTGTCCAGATAACTACCTTCGAATGCCCCCTGTGGTAGCTGGTGTCTGCGACTGGAATCTTCATTACGCAGCACTCTGTTGTAAATACTGTCCACCAAGTCTATGGGTGGCTCCTGTTGTATACTCTGACCTTGTTGAGACTCTGAAGGGAATTTAGCATAGGTTTCGCCAGTACTGTTCTCCCTGGCTAGTACCTGCTGGTACCTCTGATAGGCCCTAGGGTCAGTGAAATTTACATTATACCTTTGCAGGTCCTCTTCTGTGATTAGAGGTCCTCTGTGCTGTGTACTCGTATCCTGTCTAGGCAATTCACTAGAAAGCTCACTCTGATGTCCAAGCTGTGACACAGTAGGTTGTCTGTCAGGCCTAATGTCATTCTGTGACTTTGAAGATTGTCCTTTGTGACATTGATCTTGTGGAACATGCAAACTAGTAAGTCCTGAACCAGGTGTATATAAACTTGAGGACTGAAGAATTCTATGATCAATTCTTTCACCGCCTTTTGAATTTTGAGATAACCGGAGGGAAACTGGATCTTGGAATATTTCTGAGTTTAGGAGCTGAGGTTGTAGTTGGGCATTATCACCATGGTAACCATTATGACCTTGTACACCATCACTGACTTGCTGTGACAATGATCCATACCTACTATACTGTCTGTGATCTCCTTGGTCCATGGCAACATCACCATCCGCCATCTGGACAAAACGAGTATCTGTCACCTGATTTTTTAATTGATCTCTGTAATTATCTGAAGTCAAATTACCATTACTATGTTGTCTACCATCTTGATAACGGCTTTCTAATGTTACAGGTTTTCCATTTTGTTGAGGCGTGAGAACTGAAGGATCTCCATTACTAACACTGTATAAAACAGAGTCTGTTGAACCATTACCTACTGGATGTGTTGTCACTTCCCTTTCCTCTCTAGACATAGAAGTATACACAGGAATGTTACCTTTTTCACGACTTATCTTGTCGAGAGAAGAGTTACGATTACTAGGCCTTCTAGACCCGTCAGAAGCTACTGGATCCCGAGAGTGAGAAGACTGGCGAACATTTGGCAGTGGGAATTCCTCAATATTACCTCTGTGAATTTCCTTAACAGTGGACTTTTTTGAAATTTTGACATTCTTTTTAACAGTGATATTTTCCCCTGTTTCAAGAACCAAACATTCTTTTTCATTTGGTCCTACAGTTCTGCACACTTCGTAATTACCATAATTTTCAGGAAATTCAGGATATGCTTCCAAGGGAGCTAACATGCGCAAACCCTGCGGTCTACAATCTGTGTCAGACATTGTATCCTCAACAGTATACTTCGGAGTTCCTTTGCCATGGATAACAATACGTTCAGGATTGTCTGTCTGAGTACTTTCACCAGAGACCAAGGAAATATCAAAAGTTTCATTCTCCATCTCAGAATCTAGAGTGATGTTGGATCTTTTAGGAAATTCCAACCCACTCCCTCCTGATGAGTCCTCAAAGTTAGTGCTGTTATCAATCTGGATATCAGTTAGACTTCTGGCACCATGTTCCACATCACACTGGTCCAGTGACACATGCCTCTCACTTGTCCTCTCCTTTGTATGAGTAGCCTGATTGAATAGTGGTGCTGTATCACTAGTTATGGTAACATTAATTGCTGGTTTCACACTTTCGTCTGCTGAAGACTTGGGTACTGTTACACCCTTGGGTGCAGGTTTCACATCCCCATCTGTAGGTAGAGATGCCTGGGATCCTGCCTCTGTTGTATCATCATGAATTGATGTGTCACTTTCATTAAAAGATGACACTGCATGGCCTAGAACATGCTGAACAATAAGTTGAGCAAATTGACTAGAATCCTCTTCCTCAGAATCATCAGCAACCTCCTTCCCCTTGTCTTTACTCCTTTCCTCCACATCATTATCTTTCATTCCAATAGCAACATGTTCATTATCAGCCTGTCTATTTCCATCTGGAAATTGACCTTGAAGTATGAGGTCTTCCTCTTGCTTCTCTTTGTGTTGGCTAAAAGAGGACATGCTGTCATACTCCTCAAGTTGTGTATCTGACACAGAGTTCAGACTCTGCTGGGCTTCATCTTGTCCAACTTCGCCATTTTGTTGTGACAATAAACTTAGTGGTGTCCCATTTTCTGACCTTTCTTGTCCTTGAGCATTAGACATTGTGTCATCGCTGGTTATCTCTTCCACAGGAGAAACATTGTTATCTGCTGACTTTTCTTGTGAGGGTTGTTCTGAAGAGATGTTGCCATCTTGAACCTGTGTATCCTGAGAGACAGTGCCATCTGGTGGTGGGGTAATGAGGACAGGGGATACAGCTTCTCTATGAATCAGCCCGCCCTCCTCTGGCATACCATTATCTCCACCAGCACTCAAACCTGAGTGATCTGAAGTCAGAGGTTCATGATAACTGTCTTCTAGATTTCTGTTTGTAGTAGAAGATTCTAACTTATCTTCCCATGAATCCAGCTTATTGCTACCACTGTCATTATCCGATACATCACCTACTGCTTCCTTAGCAAACCTTTCATCTGATTGGTCAACAATTTCTGTAACTAATCCATTCTCTGACCCAACAACACCACCTTCAATGACAGAACCATGATCAGAATGGTGAGCATTTTGTCCAACGATAACAGAACCAGTTTCCGACTGCTCAAAGCTAATGTCCAGATCTGGCACATGTATCTCTGTTGTATCACTACCGTCCTGAGTGAAGCTTGACTGGTCCTCAACAGATGTAGTTTCAGAGGAACTTATAACTGATTTCATCAACTCTTGCACTTCTCTGTCTGCCTTTGTGGTAAGAGTAGTCTCTGTGGAAGCTATAGATTCCTCATCATTTACCTGGATACCTCCCTCTGGAGATGGTGATGCAGGGCTGCCATCTGTGCCTTGCATTGTGCTGTCCTTGAGCACAGACAGAGTAGTAGGACTTGAACCTCCATCGGCCCCTTCTGTCCTCGCATTGTTGTCCTCTGTCGGATGTATACCTTCTCCTTCCATACTGGTATGTAGAACCACGATCTGAAAAAAATTAATCCGAAACATTAGGACCATTATGAATATTTTAAGCAGTTACATATATATTTAAAAAAGAGCATTTCATTCAATGATTTTTTGGGCAAGGGTACCCTGACATTATATTCTAACCTTTCAACGAAAATTGTTCCAATAAATCAAAGGTTGTAAAAGGAGCAACATCAAATGAACAAAAAAGTAAAGATCAAATCTGAACAGTTAAAACTGAACAAAACAGGCATGATCACATTCACTTTACATTTACACAACTATCACTATATAGTTAAACAAAAGGCAGCTATGACTGTTTAAATTGTATGGAATAAACCCACAGCTCTCAAGTAATCTAGGAAATTTTGTAGAGTGCCAGTTTCAGTTATTTCCTGAGAAAATTTGTATGACATGTAAATTGAATTAAATACTTGCAGTAAATTTTCATGGCAGAATAAAACAATAAATATTTAGTAAACAAAATGATTTTTTTTGTAATTAGTTTTTATTGTTTAGTGTTTTTTTATCAAATAAGCCATATTTCTTGGTAAACTTCTTTTATATAGCACAAGCTATTTAAATAAAGTTATTCTTTAGTGTCTTGGTATTTAACTCACTCGTGAAATAAAATCAGAAATTAGTCATCAAATGTGATAATTTAAAAATCTTCATTTTTCAATTTCAGACATGCATGTTTGGTCTTCCAATGCCAAAAGATTGCAAGAAGTTGTGGCTTATGACAAATGACAACAAAGTATTGGCATCTGAGGATGGATGAGAGGTTTTTTTCATCATATCTAGGAGGATGTTTGACATATATACATGTGCATGAAGAACAAATACACAAATTTGCCAATGAAATATATACTCTTGATATCTTATGGTAAATGGTTTAAATAACTAATTTTCATTCTTCTGGAAACGTAATATGTTACAGCAACCAAAATGATAAGGAAGCGAAGACAAGCAGGTCAATAGTTCAAGTGATACGGTTGGACAATATGGCCGTTCCGAAATACATAACGGTTCGGAACCGATGTCGAGACAATACTTCGATTACTGTAAATAGATTAATAAAGAATGAATTATCTGAATATTTCATATGTAGAAAAAACACATGTTACAGTAAGCACACGGGGTTAATGTTTTGGTCTTTAAGATTAACGGGGACTTTTTGACCTACTCATATGCCTACTGCAACTGTGAATTTCGTTTTTGTTTACATTTTCGGGTTAAAACAACACATGTAATTTGCATATTTGGTCTTTCCATTGCAATTCAGTCAGGAAATTTTCATTTTACCTAAAATATGTACATGTCATACTTACTGTTGGTAAACAGACTGCCGTACGTTCACTACATTTTACCGGAGTTTAGGAAGATTTCGTCGTCTTCTCTTCCTATCTCAAGTCAAAACATGCGTCTGCGTCCGCGGGGTATATGTAGAATTAGAGGCGAGTATAACTGCTGTGTTGTTAGACAGTGCTAAACTACACGGAGTTAATGGACAACAAGTAAACACATTTCGATTGATGCGCACAGTGATAATCTTTACACTATAAATTTCACTACCTATAAATGTTGAATAAACTGTGTTTTTCCATTGCTACAATGTCAACTTCGTAACTCGAAAACTGGATACTCGCGTGTAATACAACCAGATATCGAATCTATGTCATAAATACGTTTGAGGTGAGCGGACAGAGAGGTAATGTGGTCGACAATCCCAAAAAGCCGATAAGAAATTTTGCAAAACTTGTGGAAGAGATGTAGCATATGGTGCACCATGCCCAAAATGATTTATGACATTGGCTTATCAATATAATTTATAAATAGGGGATTAAACGTTCAGCTGTCTTAACTGTGTGAATGCTAACAGTAAATATTTAAGAGGGATATGTTGTCCCTGTTATCAGAACATGTAGAAATTGAAGGTTAAATAATAAATATGAAAAAGGACAAACTTACCACAAACAATACAGAAATGATCTTCACGGGAAAATATGTGGAACAGGACACAAAGTTACATCGATAGGATGATTAAACTATAATATAAGTCAGGCATTGAACCTTACTTGCTTGCTGCAATGATGTCCTCATTTGAAAGTATCAAGAAAGTAAAACACCAATAAATTTTGGTTAACTGGCTAGTGCTCCAAGAAATAAAGAAAATTTGGCTAGCTCCAGCGAGTGATCTGTTGCACAATTATTGTCATGTTGACATTTTGTGTAATTGTGTATATGACGTCTTGATATTGGTTGACGTTATATGCTGAGTACTTGTAGGAATAAAGAAATTTTTATTGATGCCAGTTTCATTTGTGTAAAATAATTGCTATGTTTAGAAATGATTAGAAGTTTTTAAAATCAAACAAATTCATGCAGGGAAGCAAAAAATGCTGTTATGATATTTTTGTATAACACTAAAGTTTGCATTGGATAAAGTGCTCCAATTCTCCTATAGTTAATGCCTTTCACTTCCGAATGCTTCATGTCTTTCACTTCTGGAAGAATTTTCTCAGATATATTAAGTCCTGGGACCTCTTGTCCTGGAAATGAAAGAAATGTGGTCTTAAACATGTTACCCGTATAGAGCTTTGCTCAGGTGCCTGACGAGCTTCATTCTTATTTAAAGACTTAGTTAGGATATTAGTCTTACCATATAAAACGTTTCTGATGATAATTTATTGGAATGGTCCTATAAATAAACCTGCTGAAATGTTGGCAAAAAGGACTATTTTCTTGACATTTAGATGTAATTCTTATTAAGAAAAGGAATCCTTATCTGTATGGAAAAACTTTCCAATTTTTGAAGATTATTTTATGGTATAAAACAGAGGCACCATACTTGCAGTGCATGTAGGTAATGTACAGTATGGATGCTTATGCATTTTCCGATTTACCATTCAAATTTTTTTTCATCAGAACTGCTATATGCTTTCTAAATAATTTGTCAGTGTTTTACAAAAATTGTACACACTATTGTTACAGGATTTATTCAGCATTTATTATTTTCTTTCCTGCAAGATATATTTAGGAATCAGCATGTTGCATATACAGTAGTATGCCTGCAACTGATACTTATTTTGTTAATTATCTAGATAGACAAAAACTTCTGATTTCATTTTAAAATAAAGTAAAACACTTAAATGTTTTGTTTTACAGAATAAAAACTGATGTATGCAGTGCTGGACATTATAGTATATAAACCTTTATGTAAGTATGATGTTGTGATAAGTCTTTTCATCTTGATTATCTGTACATGCACCAGTTGCATTTTTGTTATGATTTATGTGTATCCCAATTACTTTCTATGATGGTGGGCTTGTTTCAATTACCAAATAGATAAGGTAAAGGGGATATATTCTCAATTTTGCTGAATTAAAACCAGTGACATTAGGGGTTCCTCAGAAAACAATATAGTCAGGAAATTTGAAGCATGAAATGGATGGGGACCAGAATTCTGCTAATAAAGTAAACAGTAGATCCTGTATTAAGTTTTTGTTTAGGTCCTGTATTTTAGTTTCAGACAGGTGATGGGTACCAAATGGTACCTTTTTCAGTTATTGTATTCACTGATAATTTGTGAAACATGTGTGCTGAGTATGGAGCGGTGAGGCAATGTGACCGTTTGATTAATTATAACAGAAATATGGCACAGCTGATAAGGAGACAGACTTGCTTCAGAATGGTTCGGAAACAGAGAGAGGATCTGTTATTTCAAACTAGAGATTTAGCAAGTTGGCACGAGGTAAGGAGACTGTTACAGCCAGAATTATATACACCCATATTTGATGAACAAAGACATCCTGATAATGCAGGTGAAACAGCATCAAACTGTAAAACAACGGAAAACCAGTGTGTCAATCATAGCATAGTCGGATACGAGGTCTTAACAAAATTATGTCGATCACTGAAGCATTCTCTTCAGCAGAAGTGTGTACAGCTAAGACATCAGAAGTATGACTGCTATTCAAGTAATAAGGATTCACTGACTCCGGGAAGAACACATACCGAACAAAGTATTATTTTTCACAGTTGTGTGGCGAAAGCAATGTCTAAATTTTGCAATTGGTCAGAGCCAATACCTGAATTTAATGTTGTGTTAGATACATTAAAAGATAATTGTGTATCTAGGCCTACCTCTCAGAATTTACATGGACAGCTACTGAAATCAAATCAACTTTCTTCATCCAATATTTTACCATATGGATATCGCATTAAGGTGAAATATCCGATGCAGTCACATCTAGTAAACCACTACAGTGTCGGCCAGATCAGTATCAGATACTTCCTATACCCTGACAACAAAAGTGGCAGACTGCTGTCTGTGCACCATCCAAGTATTACCTCAACTCATTACAACTTGTTCTCATCTCTAGCTGTAAACAACAATTCTTCTCAGATGAGACAATCTCATATTTTGAACTTGGAACCTGTGCTGAGCTGTAGTTTGAAACGGGGACTGATTTCCAAGAATTCATACAACTTCCCAGAACTGAAGGAGGAAGATTTAGAAGAGAGTTATATGAGAGGGAGTGGAGCTGGAGGTCAGGCTGTGGCAAAGACCAATAACTGTGTGGTACTTCTTCATAAACCTACAGGCATCCAGGTCAAGGTGAGTAGCAACCATGTCATATGACTAACTCACAGGTCAAGGTCAGTATGTCCACTGTGAGATGTGATCCTACAGACATCCAGGTCAATATATTTAACAACCATGTTTCTACTATGTGATGTGACCCCACAGTCACTTAGGTCAATTTAGATAGAAATCCAGGAATTTGACTAGCTCATAGATCATGGTAAAGCATTTAGCAACCTTGTCATGTGGCTAGTTCAAAGGTTAGGCCAGTATACCCACCTTGAGATGTGACTCCCCAGACATCCAGGTCAATGTAGGTAAAACACTATAAAATATCAAGGTTAAGGTCAGTGTAGCCAAGGAGTTATAAATAACACATCCAAGATGCAACAGGCATCACTGTTAGTATCAGAATATTAATGGTTTTTATAGGAAAACCGTTATGAAACTCATAATTCTGTGCACTTTTTTGTATGATGTATACATAGAAGGAAATTTAGTAGGTGTTTTAAATTAATGTAAAAGAAAATCCCATGAAGTAGGGCTTTCATGAAAAAAGCTTTGTCAATTTCTATATTTCTCTCTTTCTTTTTTTAATCTTAATATTGTCTAGATATCTCCTTTCTTTGCCTTCAACTGATCTCTTTCATATTTTCCTGAATGCCGGTCTGATTCTACCATATTTGTAAGACTCTCAGTGTTTCTGTATTCAAATCTGTCAAGAGGTTTTTTCTCTTTCACTTTTTGATCAATCTGTTATGGTTGATCATGAAAACATATTTACCACTGCTTTCCCTCATGATACATTGACTGAACAAGTTTTGGAAGAGTTATTGCCCTTTGTTCTTCACATCTTTTTAATTATACTGAGATATCTGTAAATGTATTCCCTCAGTTTTGCTATATGGCATGATATTGTGCTTTCTCAGTGGCATATTTACAGTGGTAGAGATATTTTGTTTCCTTTCCATCTTGCTGCTACAGTTAGAATTACAGCTTTAAGTATCTACTTTTTTTGTGGCTGAACTGCACGAACAGTGGCCGGGTGGTGGTCAGCCACTGGACGAACAGTGGCCAGGTGGTGGTCGGCCACTGGACGAGCAGTGGCCAGATGGTGGTCGGCCACTGGACGAGCGGTGGCCAGATGGTGGTTGGCCATTATTATCGCATATTGTTTTTGTGAATTTAGTCTTGTATCATGAAATAATACTTGATACAGCACGTTGAGAAACTTTATAAAATAATGTTTGATTTTGTAGATGCATGTGTCACGCTCACTTGAAGAAAACAGGAAGAGAGCAAGAGAGAAAATGGTAGAAAAACTGGATTTTCATTTCAATGGAGAAAACAGCTTTGCTGAACAAAAGAAGGCAGAGAAAAGAAAAGCTAATAAAAAAATGAAGAAAAAGGCGGAGCTTGTTCGTGAAAAAATGAAACAATTTAGGGAGGGACTTAACAAAAATGAAAATGGACCTGATGTGAACTGATTTTAATGATTGTGCCAAAAATTAGTGGAATTGATATTTCTGTAAAATGAAACTGTTCCTATCTTAAATTTACAAAGTAAACACAGATTTGACAACATAGCCTATAATTTCCTGTAACTGTTAACATACCTAGTTTAGTGGTATAATCTAGCACTTTTAGAGCTGTAAATATTGCTCTAAAAACTTAGTGCTAGTTTGTTTTCCGTATTTTCTTGATATACTAGTAGTTGTTGATGTGCTAATTCATTGTTTTATCTTATTTGCCAAAAAATAATAACATAAAAACTGAAAAATAAGCCCATTCTAAAAATAAGGCAATAGTTTCTCACCTAACTAAAAACTGTATTCCCAACTTTTGAAGAAAATGTGCTAGCTTATTTTTGAGTTTTTAGCTATTGTGCATCGTCTGTTGTCGTGCACCATGCGCCATTCATCATCTGTAAAATTTTCCTGTAAAACACTAATCTGGCTTAACGTCTGGTCTGAAACATCATTGGGAGTGGGGAATAATTTCTTAAATTCAGAAAGTTGATTTGACCCCTTGAGGTTGGTGGGACCCGAAATAGGAATGTTTGTCAATATTTTGCTTCAAAGTGCTATTAGACAAAATTTGGTCTGAAACATCATTGAGACTGGAGAAATATTTTAGCAATTCAGAAATTTGATTTAGCCCCTAGAAACTTTGGCGTAAGGCCCAAAAAAGGAAAGTTAGACAATATTTTGCTTCAAAATGCTACTCTTGCTTAATGTTTAAATGGATTTCAACCAAATTTTGTCTGAAACATCATTGAGAGTGGGAAATAATTTCTAATATTCAAAAAATTGATTCGATCCTTAGGGAAAATTATTAAATAATTTTGCTACAAAACGCTACTCTTCCTCAAGGCTTTAATGCATTTAAACCAAATGTACTATAAAACATCATTGTGGGTGGAGAATCATTTCTTAGATTCAGAAAGTTGATTTGACCACTAGAGACTTAGAGGTGGGGCTCCAGAAGGGGAAGTTAGACAATATCTTGCTTCAAAACACTACTCCTTAATGCCTTGGTAGATTTCGACCAAATTTGGTCTGAAACATTACACAGTACTAATATGATTTCTATTGTTGTGATAAGTAGAGATTACTGGAGCTGCATGGTAATGTGTTGACAGGCTGATTGGTGTGTAATACTGCAACATCACTGACTCTCCTAGCACCTAATTCTGGTGATTGTGGACGTTATCAACAGTCTTAAGTACCTTATTCTGGTGGTTGTGGGCGTTATCAACAGTTCTAAATACCTTATTCTGGTGATTTTAGATGCCAACAATAGCCCAAGTGACATTACATGTGAATTTTGAACTACTGAAATAATAATGATATTTATATAATCCTTCACGTATAAATGGTTGATTGCTGTAATTGTGTTTGGGAGGAGATTGATTGTACCAACACACCTGGGTTGTTTCAATAAATGACAATGGACAGTGAAGGGTTCCAGGTTACCAAGGACATGTAAGTAGAAATACCGAATTACAGGTTAATGAAAGATGAAAACTTAAATAAGTCAATATTTCTTTGTGTTTTTTATTTCTTAAAGACGAGAAAAATTCTATTGTGATCATGGTAAAGCTATCTGTATTATCGAGAGACCTCTGTTTTACGGTGCTAACATATTTTTTGTACTGGGCTAAACTAAGTGGTACCTTGGGATATAGTATATGGTTTCAAATTTCAAATAATACATTACAGAATCTCAATAAGTAGTGCTATTGATTTCCAGGTACAATGGCCTCACCATAGACACAAGTAAACAGGACTGGAAGGAAGCTCTTCCAGGAGATATACATCAACAACTACAAGGTAAAGTAATAATTAATGATTTATTGATCAGAATTAGGGAGTTGAAACAATATGTGCCAGCTTAAAAAAAAATTGGGCGGTCAGTAAATTTTATTACTGTTGACTGGTTTTGCCAATATTGGGCTCATCAGGACAGTAGAACATGTTGTTGACACCCTTAAGTACATAAAAATGGTTCAGAGTATGACATATTTTTAATTGTACATTTTGATATACTGTACGTTACAATATAACCGAATTTGTGTAGTTATGTATCGACAAAATCTGAGTATAGGAAATGATACATTTATCATTGACCAGTCATATGATCCTTCATCTTGACAGTCTGTGCCTTCTGACAGTATCCTAATTCTCCGTAATCCATTGTACATGCCACCTCTTCAGATACATTTGATATCGGAGCTGTGTCATCAGAGTTGGAATCACTCAGAGTCAAATATTGTTTATTAAGTTAATCCATGAATTCCTCCAATACGGGTCTAATTTTAGTAGCTTCTACTGTGGTGATTGCAGTCTTCGGTTTTTACTCTGTACTTCACTTTCTCTGTTCTTTCGTTAGAGCTGCCATAGGCCTCTTAATGATTTAAGAGCTGTTGTATCAACAGTAATGAAGGTTTACACAAAATTTACGAAGCTGTGTTCCTATTGTATATAAAGTTTATTCTTGGCATTATATTACCTTCACAATTTGATATTGATTCTGTAACAAAACCAAAATCTGTTTGGTATTTTACATAAGTTTACTGCCTATAGCTACCTTCAGTAACTTACCATCATGACAATATTTTTACAGATGCCATTGAAAAATGGAAGACTTCTGGTGTTAGAGCTCTGTGGGTGAAAGTACATAAGAAACATTCATCATTTGTTACCGTTTGTGTACAGGTAAGTTGTCTGTGTATGCCTACGTGAGTACAGGTAAGTTGTCTGTGTATGCCTATGTGTGTACAGGTAATTTGTCTGTGTATTCCTATGTGTGTACAGGTGAGTTGTCTGTGTATGCCTATGTGTGTACAGGTAAGTTGTCTGTGTATGCCTATGTGTGTACAGGTAAGTTGTCTGTGCATGCCTATGTGTGTATAGGTGATTTGTCTGGTCTGTGTATGCCTATTTGTATACAGGTAAGTTGCCTGTATGCCTATGTGTGTACAGGTAAGTTGTCTGTGTATGCCTATGTGTGTACAGGTGAGTTGTCTATGTATGCTTATGTGTGTACAGGTGAGTTGTCTGTGTAGGTACTGGAAAGTTGTCTGTGTGTACAGGTGAGTTGTCTGTGTATGCCTATGTGTGTACAGGTGAGTTGTCTGTGTATGCCTATGTGTGTACAGGTGAGTTGTCTGTGTATGCGTGTACAGGTGAGTTGTCTGTGTATGGCTATGTGTGTACAGGTGAGTTGTCTGTGTAGGTGCTGGAAAGTTGTCTGTGTGTACATGAAAGTTGTCTGTGTGTACAGGTAAGTTGTCTGTGTGTACAGGTAAGCTGTCTGTGTATGCCTATGTGTGTACAGGTGAGTTGTCTGTGTATGCCTATGTGTGTACAGGTGAGTTGTCTGTGTATGCCTATGTGTGTACAGGTGAGTTGTCTGTGTATGCCTATGTGTGTACAGGTGAGTTGTCTGTGTATGCCTATGTGTGTACAGGTGAGTTGTCTGTGTAGGTGCTGGAAAGTTGTATGTGTGTATATGAAAGTTGTCTGTGTGTACAGGTAAGTTGTCTGTGTGTACAGGTAAGCTGTCTGTGTATGCCTATGTGTGTACAGGTGAGTTGTCTGTGTATGCCTATGTGTGTACAGGTGAGTTGTCTGTGTAGGTGCTGGAAAGTTGTCTGTGTAGGTGCTGGAAAGTTGTATGTGTGTATATGAAAGTTGTCTGTGTGTACAGGTAAGTTGTCTGTGTGTACAGGTAAGCTGTCTGTGTATGCCTATGTGTGTACAGGTGAGTTGTCTGTGTATGCCTATGTGTGTACAGGTGAGTTGTCTGTGTATGGCTATGTGTGTACAGGTGAGTTGTCTGTGTATGGCTATGTGTGTACAGGTGAGTTGTCTGTGTATGCCTATGTGTGTACAGGTGAGTTGTCTGTGTAGGTGCTGGAAAGTTGTATGTGTGTATATGAAAGTTGTCTGTGTGTACAGGTAAGTTGTCTGTGTGTACAGGTAAGCTGTCTGTGTATGCCTATGTGTGTACAGGTGAGTTGTCTGTGTATGCCTATGTGTGTACAGGTGAGTTGTCTGTGTAGGTGCTGGAAAGTTGTCTGTGTAGGTGCTGGAAAGTTGTATGTGTGTATATGAAAGTTGTCTGTGTGTACAGGTAAGTTGTCTGTGTGTACAGGTAAGCTGTCTGTGTATGCCTATGTGTGTACAGGTGAGTTGTCTGTGTATGCCTATGTGTGTACAGGTGAGTTGTCTGTGTATGCCTATGTGTGTACAGGTGAGTTGTCTGTGTATGGCTATGTGTGTACAGGTGAGTTGTCTGTGTAGGTGCTGGAAAGTTGTCTGTGTGTACATGAAAGTTGTCTGTGTGTACAGGTAAGTTGTTTGTGTGTACAGGTAAGCTGTCTGTGTATGCCTATGTGTGTACAGGTGAGTTGTCTGTGCATGCATATGTGTGTACAGGTAAGCTGTCTGTGTATGCCTATGTGTGTACAGGTAAGTTGTCTGTGTATGCCTATGTGTACAGGTAAGCTGTCTGTGTATGCCTATGTGTGTACAGGTAAGTTGTCTGTGTATGCCTATGTGTGTACAGGTAAGCTGTCTGTGTATTCCTATGTGTATACAGGTAAGTTGTCTGTGTGTACAGGTGTAAGGTAGATAAGGTTAACTCATTCTACTTAATTGAGGCACTGCCTTAGTAATCTTTGATGAAATACAAACCAAATGATGTGGAACTTTAAAACTAAATCACAAATTTCGTTGCTTTTTACTTTATATGTGAATTATTGAGTTTCACTAATTTCTAAATTATCTCCCACTAAATATATGTATCCTAATTAAAGCCAGTGAATTGATAATAGTTTTAATTGTTTAATGTTAATTGTGTACCTACATTCTCTCCACATAGCTTGGATTAGATTTCCACCATGCCAAACCAGGATATGTGATGTTGAATCAATGGCTAGCTGAATCTGAAGAGAATAGACTACCTGGATTTGCTAACCAGTATTTAGGTATGTATTCCACTTGTGTACAGCTAACTTGCTCAGAAAGTAATTGAAGCATATAATTACCATGACAGCATTCATTATCCATGTGTTGTAACAGTATAATACCTAGTCCAGAATGACTGAAGGTAGTAAGGACTTAATTTAGTATACAGCATTCAATTCATTCTGGTAAGGGGCATCTGATATTTTGAAATATTTTTTTACATGAAGGACATGAAATCTCAGGCTGCAGGGGTTGAAAAGAGAAAAGAGTGATAATCTTAGAATACTAAACCTTGAATATAATTTTGACCGTACTGTCACGGACAACTGACTTTGGCTGAAAAAATTTAACAACTTAGAATGCAGAAGTTATTTGGGTGGACTAACATGGCTCAATAAGGATATACAGAAATTTTGATATATTTTAGATGAGTAATTTTCTTTTTAATGTTCATAAGTCCATCTTTGGCCCAAAATTTCAGCCTCAAACTGCTCCACTTTCTTTCTTTGGTCTGATCATACCTATAGGCAGATTTACACAGCTTCTCAACCCTTCCATGCCAACATTGGTGTATACCAGTGTTTTCATGTTGGGTGTTTGTTTAATGCTCAAAATTGCTATATTTTTTCTGTCCCAGTCGATGAAGACATACATTATAACAGTTGTTTTGGTCACTGTTGGACTAAGAATTGTTATTTAACTTGTACATTCAGAAAGAAATTTTGATTATTTGTGTTAAGAAATAAAAAAATTTCTATTTCAGCCGAAATATTTTACTTTGTCTTATAAAATAAACAAATTTCGCCTCATGTGTGCTAAAATTTGGAATAATTAGTGACCAATAATTATTGTTTCAAATCTGAAAGACAGTGCAATCATATGTACCAGATATATACAAAGGCATTGTGTTTATTTATTGAGAAAGCTGGCAAAGTTAAAAAACCACAAAAAAAAAAAACTAGAAATAGTTGTTTATTTTTGTCTTGTATACATAATCATGGAGTGACATTGTGGCATTTCTTTTCTGGAGGAAGTATCAACATTTGTGTTAAATTTCAGGTAGTTCAATTAAATTACAAGTGTTATCATCACCAAACCTGCTTAATGGTTATATGGAAGCAAGAGTTTCATGTATAGCTGACAATGAATTGGACTTTGTTTATCAATTGTGCTATGTTAAAGTTCTGAATTTAGCTCCACATTGAACTTCATTCCTCTTCTAAGAACATATACACCTGTATATAACAAACACATTTCAGATTCACAACTTCACTGAAAGATACCTGTTAATTGGATTTTGTTCAGAAACTATCTGAAAGTTAGTGTTGAGCTTTATTTCTCTCCAAGTACATTGTCGTAATGAGATCTGGAATACACTTGTACATATTTATGGTCGTATCAACACAGGTTCTGTATTTCACCTACAGTTTATTGTGTTGCCTGCAGGGCTGGCGAACACTTAGGGATCACTTTGCCTGATGTCACTCGTCATCATCCGTACAAAAGTTTTCCAGACTTTTTTCGGTAATGCTTTCAGTTATCAGAATGAAATTTGGTATATGGCTTTTTGTTGCAAGGGTACAGATTAAGTTTGATTCCTGGCTCTCTGTGACCCTTCTTGGCAAAGTAATGCTCCTTTGAACTTAGAAAATTTCCTGGGAATATTGTTTTCTGAACTTTTTTGGCTTATGCTTTGAGTTATAGAAATGAAATTTGGCATATGGCTTCTTGTTGCAAGGGTACAGAATAAGTTCGATTCCCGGCTGTCTGTGACCCTTTTTGGCTGAGTTATGTCCCTTTGAACTTTTCCTCAGGAATATTGCTTTGTGTAGTTTTCCCTTTATGCTTCAAGTTCTAGAAATGAAATTTTGTATTACAACTTTATGGTTGATTGTTGCACATCCAGTTCAATTTCTGGGTGACCGTGACACTTTATGCAGGCGACATACAGTTTCGAGGAACTCTTGTTGCTTATTGAATTTTGTGACGGGTTCACGTTTTTGATTTAGCTCTATACATTGAGCTTATCATCTCTTCAAGTACATGTGCTGTCATAACCAAATCTGGAATATGCTTTTCTCTATATGGATGGCCATCTCAATACATACCAATGGTATTCTCAATTAATAATATAGAACCATGAAGATACCAAGTACAACACATTTGTTTTATCCTGATGATTTAGAGAAGTGAAGAATCGCGAGACGTAATTAATTCCTGTTCCTCTACTGTTTGATTATAAATTGTATTTACCTGTATTGTATTCAAGACTTTGTGTTATATTTGAAGGTGTGGCAGGCTTTGTCATCAATGATGACAACCAGGTCCTGGTGATTCAGGAGAGATTCAACATTATTCAAAAACACTGGAAACTTCCTGGAGGATTGGCAGATGAAGGTATACAAGGATCATGTGACAACACAATTTGTTAGAATATCAATTTTTCACATCAAAAAATATTTTCGGATTTCGATATCATCAAAAAAAAAATTTACATTGAAATTGATATCTTGCGTAGTAGTTTTTCATTAAATTTCCAATATATATGTTTCCAGGATTGAAATTTTTTTACTCCAAAATCAAATTCTTCATATCAGAAAACATGCAGTATCTTTGATATCATTAAATAGACATGATTTCATAAAATTAAAAAAAAAAAGAAATAAAATTTGAAGTCAGACAATAATTTTTGATGTAAAATATAAATACTTTTTCAAATAAAAAAATAGGGAATAATTGTAAAATTATCATTATTATTACATTCTTAACGGCCCATCAACACATAAAAGGTCATTAGGGCCATAAAACGGTAAAACACACAGCAATCCAATATAGTTGTAAAATGGCGAGGTTATCAACTTATCTTCTCATTTTTTTTTTTTTTTTTTTTTATGTCAGAAAATCAAAATTTTTGATATCAAGATATATTTTGATGTCAGAAAATATTGAATTAATAGTTAAAAAACACTCTACATGTTTCTCGCAGTATAGTCATCTTTGTACAATTTATTCTAATGTCAGGAAATAGAGCTTATCACACGATTTCAATTTTAGTTGGGTACAAATTTCTTAATTCAAACAGATAAAATCTCGCTGTTTGCATAAATGTGATGACTCAGATCTGTCAGTTTTTTCATTAGTGTATAAAATACGAATACAAAATATAAAATATTCTACCATCTCTTAAGAACAGAATGAGAATGTGGCAGTTTTGGGATATTTTTTATAAGTGATGTCATAAGAATAGAAGTTGATATTATTTTTTTTTTACAAGGACTTCTGTTCTAGAATGTGTATTGAGTATTAAATTGACTACAGGTGAGGACCTGGCAGTCACATCTCGGCGGGAGGTATTTGAGGAGACAGGAGTTGAAGCCGAGTTTGTATCTGTATTAACATTCCGACACCAACATAACTTCCGCTACGGCTGCTCTGATTGGTACTACATCTGTTTGATGAAGGCGGTGGGTGGGTCTATCAACCCTTGTCCTCAAGAAATAGCAGAGTGCAAGTGGATGGATGTAAGTCAACAGCAACAAATATACTGAATTAAGATTTCTGTAATAAATGCAGTTTAACACAGACATGCCAGTTGCCCCTCCCTGAAAGATATTTTTACTTCCTGTTACATATAGAAGAATATGCCAGTCGCACAGTCCTGTAGGATATGTTTACCTTCTGCTACAGAAAGAAGAGTATGCCAGCCACCCCTCCCTTACAGATATGTTTACCTTCAGTTACAGATAGATGAGTATGCCAGCCACCCCTCCCTTACAGATATGTTTACCTTCATTTACAGATAGACAAGTATGCCAGCCACCCCTCCCTGACATATATGTTTACCTTCTGTTACAGATAGACAAGTATTCCAGTTACCTATCCCAGAAAGATATATTTACTTTCTGTTACAGATAAGACGAGTATGCCAGCCACCCTTCCCTGACATATATGATAACTTTCAGTTACAAATAGACGAGTATTCAAGTTACCCCTCCCTGAAAAATATGTTTACTTTCTGTTACAGATAGACGAGTATGCCAGCCACCCCTCACTGACAGACACCAATAAGTTTGTTGTACAGTGCTATAAAGAACATATTGCTCGCGGCAACTCCGTGTCAATATTTGCCACTCCCATCCTCTCTTACAACAAGAAAACCTACCACAATATATACAGTATACAGTCATCCCACAACACACATACCAAATCAGGCCAAGAGGAAACCGACACAAGCTGAAATATAAGTGGCAATCAAAGTTAGGATACTAATATATATATATATATATTTTTAAAATTGTAATCTTTTAAAAGTTTTATAGGGACATTTATGAACAGGAATGTTAAAACTTTTTATGCAAATTGATGAATGAAAATTAATTAAACAGACAACTATGTTCTTATATGTATTTTATTAATAAAAGATATCAATTTATAGACAGAAATATCTGCCTCTGAAATTGTTGACTACAGAATAAGCTTTCCGTATCCGTCAGTCTTATTCACTGCAAAGATGGATTTTTTTAGCCAACTACCATCAGATAACCTGCCTTTCATGTCTGTCTATCTCTTCTATAATCCATTCAACTCTAATTCACTCTTCAGTGATTCAAATTTTCACATTCCTTGCTAACTCTTTGAAGCAAAAATGTTGTAATTTACAAGAAAGTCCTGTAATGGACAATGGTTTTCTCCGTTAATTTTATTTTCAGGGTTTCTATATTTTCACAATATCAAAAAACTGAAAATTAGATACTCTCGAAATTAACCACCTATAGAGTATTCCTCTGTCAAGCCACAACTGATCCAATGGTCCTACTGTAACATTAGTCATTTTGAGATGGAAGGTATTTTTAATTGTACAGATATACTCAGGGAACAAAAGTATATATATAAACTTTATCTATTTTACAACAATTGCAAAACAAGCTATCAGCTTATATCAACCACTCTTGTTGGCTTGGATGAAAACATGAAGGGGTCTTACCATGGATCACCCATGGAAAACCCATGTGATCTGGCATGTGACCCCGTACTTTTTCATGTCCATTCCGGTAATTGAACCTCGGACATTTGGTGAAAGGCAGGTGCGTTACTGTTTCATCACCCAATCACCCTGATCCAAAGTGTCCAAGTATACTCAGGTGAACAGTGTTTGGATTACCAAACATGAACTGATAGTGACAGGTAAATACTGGAGAATAAATATTTGTATAATCCTGGTGCTTGATGATCAAGAAAGATTCAAAGTGTAATTAGAAGTATTTGCTTAGGAGAGAAATTTATATATGATTATCAACGTAACATACATACATAGAGTCGAGGACAGTTATGTTAAATAAGATTGGTTGTAGACTAAATAAATAAACATAATAAATTTATGTAATGAAGGTTAAAAGAGGATTAAACATTTACTGGAATAAAGGTGAAGTATACGCTTTGATTTATGTCTTTATTTTTACAATGAAGGGATTTTAAAAAATGTTTCCAGAATCATTCAGAACTGAAAATCTCCCATTTTTTCTGTCTGCTTGATGACCAACTATTCATTTCCACTGACTGTAATATTTTTTTTCATCCTAAACAAAATCACTCTTGACAGATGACCTTTGGAAATTGAAAATTGAACATCAGCATCCCAAAAACAGTAAAGTTTCCTGTGATGAACTACCAGATGTTCACAGGAGGCCTCCTGTTGATAGGAAAGTTTTCAGTGCAGTACCTCCTTGCCTTTGGTACTGTTATTTGATAACATGTTGATCTTCTGTTACGGTAAGGGGCAACACTGACACATGATTTACACAGTTTATAAACGGCAGTGGCCATTGTTCTCTCTCGTCAACCAGGATTGGTAATATCACAGAACCCAGCCTCTGTTATCACACAACTAACACTTGTGTTAGTTTGCTGGAAAAGAATATTTTATTTATAGACAAGCAAAATGGGATAGTAGAACATTGAGCCACATAAACAGTAGATCTAACCTAAGTTTTTTGTTCATAAAAATGACCCAAAGATATTAATACTCTACATACCTTCATAATGTTTTGTAGAGCATGATATTTAGGAAAGCAAAATTTTTAGATAACTTTGGCATAATGATAACACCTTGTACAAACGATGGCCAGTGAGATAGGCAGGATCTTAACCTTCAAGGAAGATTATTATGTTGCCAAACACTCTAATCTGTTAATCTCTGCCACAGAACTCCATCTCGTCCTCAAGGATACTACAAAACTTAATGAAAGTACCACCTTGTAGATGTGTTCTGTAATTAGGCAAATGTGGAGAAAAGTGTTTTTCTAACTCTTTACAGCATATGATTATGGGAATGGAAGTTGAAAAATGATATGAAGATATCCCAAGGAAAGGAAGATAATTACCATTTTTGAACTTTTGACCAATGAGATCTGTCGGTGTCCATCGCTAGCGGTGATGATGATTCGTGTGTGTGGGACATGTGACCAGGTTTTACCCAGAGCTGCAGACCTATTCCTATCCCAGTCTCCGCTGACTACATTGTTGGTGATCTGTGAAATATAGAAAGATCAACAATAGGCCCATGGAACCTTAACAGTCATATGACTGTAAAGGCCTTTATATGATATAATAGCAGTAGTAGTTGTAAGAACAGTTATTAAATGACTATTCTAGCAGTAAAGGCAAAAACCACTCCTTATATTTCAAATTCTAAACATTCCAACAAAATTTTAGATGGCATCAGTTGAACCGAGAGGAAGTTTTAAAATCTATTTTACCAAGATGGCAGCCATATTGGGTTTTGGAGAAACCATGATTGTGCAATCATGTAACAATATGGCTACCATATTGAAATTTTGCGAAGCTATAAAATAACAATACTTTGTTGCTTTCCTTCCTGAACATTTTAACCAATATTCATTTCAATGGCACTTGAGGAACTTGAGAAAAATGTTTTTCAAGATGGTGGACATATTGGATTTTGGTCCAAAATGAAACAATGGTACAATCTCAGGATTATTTCAAGCGAAGTTTCAGCTCAATTTCACAGGATCAAAGAAGTTTAAAATGAGTATTGTTCAGAGAGACCATGACTGTCCCATCAAGTTACAAAATGGCCACCATTGCTGCCATATTGAATTTTTGATGAGGCCAATAAAACGTGACATTTGACCCTTTGGGTCAGATGACCTAAAATGTTTGTGCATATAATAACAGGTGAATTTTACCCAAACTTCATATAAAATTTTGATTAATGTTCAAAAAAAAAACTCAAAACAATTATAGGTTATAAATTAAACACCATGGAGTTCTCAACTAATTGTAATTTGACATTTTACCAGGATAGCTATAGAACAGTCAACTGCCAGTTGTTTCAGCTTTCTGGACAAAGTCACCATCAGTCCATGTCCTACAGAGAAATGCAAATGTAACATTAATTTCACTACTATGCACATGAATGAAGCATGGATGTTTGTCTATTCTTTGAAGTGATGACTTAGGGTTATTCCAGTAAAACCTCTATCTGACCTAAGGGTTTCAAGATAAATCACTTCTATCCATGATTTGGTTTCCTTCCTATTTCTTCTCCGTATATTACCTGGTATTCTATTCTAAGCAAACCCTGGAATTCTGAGGTGGAAATGACATTTCAGTGGCATTGTCGTTACTTTTGATTTCTTATCCCAAGTGACATCATAGTTGTCTTTATCCTGCAACTGGCACTGCCTTTTTCAGAATACACCTGCCACATGTATTTTTGTTGTATTTTTGGCAGTGATGGAAAACTGCTGTATTTTAACATGTGCCATAATTTGACAGAAGTACTCTCTGAATTTTCTTAAATATTATGTTTAGAAATATAAATAGTTGTTGAAAGAAGCGATTTTTACATGATGTAATGAACAAGGTGATTTATGAAAATTCATAAAATCGCTGTTATATCCGATGAAGTTTGGAATTATGTTTCCTTGCGGAGCAGTTATTTTGGCATCGGTCATCAGGCAAAATTCAGCGAAACGTCAATGTCCAGTAAACACAAATTGAACAAGGAAACTGTTTAAGCAAAAAATTCATTTTGTAAGTTTAATCATTATCAAGTTATCATAGCACTTATTTTTTTATTTGAGATGAAGACAACATTGACCATGCACGTTACAAAATGCAGTGGTTATGAAATACAAGGCAATCAGGTGTGACCCATACATGTACCATCGCAGAATGAAAGTGTATATCAAGCAAGATTTTTATCAGCATAGAGAATGAAACAAATTCCTTATTTTAACACGAATCCAATGATTATCCTCATTTGGTTGCCATGGATGCAAGTATTTTGTAAGTTGCACTCATTGATTTTGCGTGGGACTCACCTCAGGACTCACTGGTCCTAAATCTTACAAAGATTACTACCAACATTTTCACAAAATTGATTCCACTTCATTCAAGGATATTTCAGACAAAAATTTGGGCAAACTATAATCATTTCTACAGGAATATAAGAATTTGCTCAATTTTCCAAATGGGGCCTGGCCCCAGGGAGCCAAGACCCACCATATATACAAACTTGATTCCCTTTCACCCATGGAGAAATTGAGAAAGAATCCAGGCATTCTTAAAGGAGAAGCATTTTAAAGCAGAATTTGCTCCATTTCTTCCAATGGGCCCTACCCCTCTCACCCCCAGCAGTCAGAAAATCACCATTTATACAATCTTGATTCCCATCATCCAAGGATGCTTCAGACAAAATTTGGGCAAAATCTAACCATTTCTGCAGGAGGAGCAAGATTTTAAAGTATTTGCTCTATCTCCCCTGTTCGGCCCCATTCCCCCCATCCCAAGGTGCAGAAACACACTTTTTATAAGAATCCAGGCATTCTTAAAGGAGATGCACTTTAAAGAATTTACATTCTGACCAGGTGAATTAAAAACGAAAGCTGATTGTGAAAACTTACTTACCGTCCATCTGCTGACCACCCAGAACTGGGTAAATAACCGAGGCTATATTGTCTACTACAAGCAGTTTCAAGTTGCTATAGAAATCATCAGTCTGAAAGAGAGAATTTATATTATTTTAGACATCAATGTGTAAGAAAGAAATTAGCTATTACAGGTAGATGTTGAGACATGTTTGTAACATCCTTACTAACTTACTGAACATCTACACAAATAGAAGATTTAAAGCTGACAATGTAAATTAGAAATCTTAATGTTGAGATAAAAAAAAGACCAGAAATATTTCTGAAAATGCTTTCAAGACCCCTTCCCCACCACCATTTTAACACTATTTTGTGGTCATTGTATCTAAGGAACTGTTAGTTTTCCAAACTTTGCATGAAAACATGTACGGGCTTCCCAGGTTATACAAGACCTGCAACCTGTCATCATTATTTAAATGATGGTGCAGTGTGACTAATCTATATATCTATATATTGATACATTGCATAAGAACATACATTTACCAGCTTCCATTTTTTCTTGTATAACTGAAAAACCTTGAAATTGATGTTGAACATGTATGACAAAGCCCTTCAATATCAGCCAAACAATAGAAATACACATTTATTTGTCTTCCAATTTTCATATATACCCTCAGCCAAACATTTTTCAGGAAAAAAACACAATATATCAAAAATGATATGACAATGCCAAATCATACCTTGTTCTTCCAGAGCACAGAAATTAATTCCTGCAAAATGAGCTTTTACTATTTCCAGTTATTTTCTTTAGGGTAAAAGTTCACTGGTCAAATTTTTGCACAATCAATGACAGGTCATCTCCTTGCACATTTTTTACTAGTCAAGCATTTACATAACCATGAGTGTGAATAAAGCATTTTCAAAGCACTGCAGTAACATAGTAAAATTGGTTGTGTCTAAGAGTTTACTGCACATGAACATGTTTCAGGATATCTGTGATGGACTGTTTAACTGGGAGTTTGCTGTTTCTGTTTCATTTTTATTCTATTCATTGAGTATAATTTTGGAAAGTTGAGAGATATTGATCATCTTCATGCAATTTTATGGTCCTCGGGTGAGTGCACCTTTTAGTGTCACATATACATATTATCATAATACACAGGTGACTTTCACTACCCAGCGGTCAAGTTGCAAGCCTTTTATACCCAAGGATGCCCAAACTCGTTTCCAAGCAAGGTTTGCACTTAAATGTCTGCCACTTCCTTAAATATGCTGACCAGAAGATAAATTTATCACAGGGGGCATCACCAAAGCATTTTAGAAATGGAAACTTTTTTATCGTAAAACTTGCATTGTCAGACGATGCGATATCATAAAGTCAAAGGTGTCTGATTGCTATTTCTGTATTGTTATAAGATATACCTGTTGTAAAATATTACATCGGAGGTTTTCTAGCTCTGACAGCAAGGAAAACACATCAAATGCTTGATAACATCTCATTCTCTGGAATGTGGATTCCTCTATTTCCTGAAATTATAAGACCATGGAGTCACAACACAAAGTCTAAAAGATCACACAGCAACAATTAAAAACAAGAGTGCCGCCACAAAGTATCAAGATTGGTCCTTTTCATTATCGCTTTTAACTGTATCATAAATCTTACAAAAATCAATTAACCCAAAAATCGCCCCTTCATGCACATCAAACCATTGTATTAGTGACATTGAGCAAGTTTCATGAAAATCTGATGATTATTTTAGGAGGATTTGCGTTCACAAAGCTCCACTAAGAGCAAGCTACAGATACAAAGTTGAAAATGGCATAAATCTTACAAAAATCACAGAACCGCAAAATTGCCCCTTCATGCACATCTACCCATTGTAGTAGTGACATTGAGCAAGTTTCATGAAAATCTGATGATTCGTTTAGGAGGAGTTGCGTTCACAAGAAATGGATGTACGGACGTAAGTACAGACTGACAGAATGAGATGATGCCAATATACGATTGCCTCCGGCGGCGTATGAAAACCTGTTTCTGCTTTCGTGTTGGCATAAGTTAATATAGACATATCAGTCAGAAAATAGATTGAGACCATTGTTATGTATTAATGTTTTATTTAACCATTTAATTTTAAAAAGCAAATACCTTATAGTCTGGATAAATAGGGATTGTCTTAGGCTCAGTTATAGCACTGTATGGTGAAATATCAATGCTCTTTACCAATACACATGTCAATATTCCTTGCTCTACATACTGATCACTTATATACAGAGTAGGAGCTACAACAGCTGGTATGTACTCAATGTGACATTACAGAGAAATGGAAGATGGTATCACATGGAGCGATAATTGTGACACCAATATCCATATCAATAATTAGGCATACATGATGTTTTCAAATTATTTGATATTGTCATGAAACAAGAATAGGAAATGTATGGATTGTCACTTGACGGAGTTTTTTTTTAAATTTTATTAAAAATATCACATGTTCTAAATGTTGGCTTATTCAAACAATCTGGTGGGAGTTACTTTATCACTAATGGTTTTAACCTTTCCTGAATGCTCTGCTATCTGTAGCACTCGTTCCAAAGACAGAGCCCCACACGTATCTATGTAGTAAACATTCTGCTGAGCTCCACATATCACTGCACTTGCACAGGTCATACAGAACTACAAAAATAGAAAAAGCTTGTATATAGAATAACAGCAAGAAACAGGTCATACAAAACTACAGACACAGCTTACACATATAAAATAGGTCACACAGAACTACAAGAAATAAGGCCACATGGAAAACTAGTTACAATAAGGTCACGCACAACTAAAATCAGGGTCATACAAAATCAAACTATGAGTAGAAATAACTTGAAAAATAATACAATATAAAGTTGGTCATTCAGAACCATCAGCGGTGATTTCCACTGTAATCTTTGAAATCTCTCTTTTGTTTTATGTATATACTTCATTTTAGTGACTGCAGTTTCCCCTTCAGGTCTGTCATCTATGTTAAGGTCTAACCTGTGTTTTACTGCTGCAATCCCCCCCCCCCCCTCCACCCCCATCAGCATCCCTCTGTCTGTACATAGACCTCACCTGTATTCTACTTCTGCAATTTCCACCCCCACCCAACATCTGCATCACTTTGCCTGTTTATAGACCTCACCTGAGTTTTACCTGCTGCGATTTCGCCTGCGATCTCCGTCACTTCACCTGTATATAAACCTCCATCAAGCAAGTCATCAACCCTGCAGAATATAATGTAATACAAATTAAAAGCCAACAGCTGTACAGTTGGGGCTGTTTTCCCTTCCACAACCTTATACCAAGTAATTAATGATTAGAAAATGCTCTAATGTGGAAATTCAATCAAAATACTTTAACAAAGCAAGATAACATTTCATCTAGTTCAGCCTATCAAGAAACAGATTAATGAAGATACAAAAATGTTAATTTACAAGTAAGCCTATTCATAGATATCTATTTGTTTAACCTGTTACAGCCTGTGGTTAGAATGGATATGGAAGCCATTGCTGTTTCGTACATATCTGCACCACTGACTGGAAAAGATGCATTCTGGGCCAACAATACTCTACGCAATGCCACCAGTTCCTATTAAAAGAAAAAGTTATATATATTTTTTGTCAGAAAACTTGCAGTAAGACTATTTTGGAAATATAAGACATTTTAACAAGTGTCTCCACAATATTAAATGTTGCAAAAAATTGTTGTTTTGAGTTAAAACTTGATCATTTGTATGTAGAAATAAGCATTCTTATATAAATTGTCATTACCACCTGGGAGTAGTTCTTGGAGCTGTTGCTTTCAAAAAAATTTTTTAGGGAAATATTACATATTTTCTGATAAAACATACAAAGATATTTGATTTTTTTTCCTGCATTTACTTCAGAAAGGTTTCAGACTGATGAACCAAGAAGAACGAAAACAAGTTTACTTGCGAAAAGTTACCTTTTAACAAGTTTGACATATTTTGTAATTTTAAGCAGAGACGTGTCCTCCCTATAGCTATACCAGTACATTAATATGCTTTCCTTAATTGGTATGCATACAAATATTTATAATTACTAAATAATATAAAAAGACCGTTCTGATTATGATCTATCGTGGATGAGGATTTTTCCGTTTGACGTTACTACAGCTCTTCTGGGCTAATGGTTTATGTTTCCAATCTATACAACACAAATAAACTTGTATCTTGTGTTTCTATTTTGCTTTCGTTCGTTCAACCTTGTACGGGATTTCGTAATTCTGTGAGAGTGCTTCCAAGTCTGCTACAATAAGATCTGTCGCTGTCTTTATGCCTGCTTCTTTAAGTCTGGCATGAAGTGATTCGGTTAGTGAGGGACAAATTCCTAGTCGTATGGTTGACATAACTGCTTTCGAAAGATCCCCGCGAAAATAACGTAAACACTGTTTAGAGTAATCTCCCTTCTCAGATCACAACAGGAAGCACCAGTTGCTTGTTGACTTCCGCTTACACATGCGTCACAGACAGAGAATACTAGACGATCGATCGACGGACCAACTATTTCTTCATAATATGCAAAAGATACAATGAAAAGTTAACCTGTGGACAATAGCAAAGGAAAGGTAAGCTTAAAACGTGCAAACAAAGTGCGTGTTATAACAAATGTCAATTCTAAAACATAACGGTACAAGCAGGGAATGAAACATGGGTCTTCATTGAAATGTTTACAAAGGAATAACAGCCACTGGACCTGACCCATCCAATATATTGAAAACCTTATATACAGCCAGTCGAAATAGCTACCATCGGAAGCTGGACTTGAACCATCCGTCTTCTAAAAACCCCACAGACACATGGTCATCATTTCTACCCACAAGAACCACTGAACAGGAGCCACTGATCTCATAAAAACCCCATGGATAAAGCCACTCATAAATGTCCAAAAACAACCTCTGGACTTGACCCATTAGTCTCCTAAAACCCTTTAGACAGCCAGTTATAACTGTCCTGAAACAGCCGCCGTACTGGACCCATTAGTCTTCTAAAAGCCCTTTAGACAGCCAGCCATTACTGTCTTAAACAACAGCTGAAGTGAATTCATTAGTCTCCTTAAAAGCTATAGGGATAGCCAGTCATAACTGTTCAAACAACCGCTGGACTAGACCCATCTGCAATCTCCTTTTACTAGCTACCAACAGCCACTAGACTCCTAAAAACTCAGTCCCATAATATATGATATGAAAAAGGCACTGCCTAAAAGCGAGTTGTTGATCAACAAGATGTACATTTGAAATGCCTGATTTCACTGAATCATATATATATATATATATTTGATTTGCTTGAATTTAGCAAGATTTAAACAAGACATGTGCCAACCCATCCACACCTACCAATGTGTCACATTATTATTGCTTTCCTCTTAATCTGGACCAATAAGAGACAACGTATTTCTCATTCACAGAAAGTAATAAAAGTTCTCCAACCTTAAACTGGAAAGCAATGTTCATGGTTGAACAAATGTGCTCTTGTATTAAGTGGTGAAAAATGGAATTTGGTTTCGGTCACATACTTTTCAAACCATTAACATATATCTTTTTTATATTTGTTAAAAGACTTTAAGCTGATTTTCTTTCCATATGAAAGCTTAAAGAGACATTTTGTAGTTCAAAATTTGTTTTGATCCATTCACCAGGTTGAAAGGTCTCATTGCTTGTTGCGGTAAGTGTTTCGTGATTATTGAAGTTCCAGCCACATCTCCTAAAGTTGATTGTATGGGCAGCTTAAGGTTATTGGTTTTTAATTACCACAAACAATACCATAAAGGACCTAAGACATTTTGAATGATTGGTGTTTAACGTTTCATACAACTATAAATGTTTTAATGTCTTAAAACCTATCTTACTTACATGTAAATTGATAAGCCGGTTAATAAATTGATCAAAAAGAATTCTGTGATATTTATTCTGAAGGCCTTGCTGGGGCCTTCTAATAGCTCAACACTACTTTGGCTAAAGCAATACCTCCAACTTCCAATTTAAGTCTTAGTAGGTGACCTGTACTTGCATATGTGCATTTTTACATGTAATTTAACTACATAATAACATGCCATATTTTCCGGTTTATAAACAGCACTTTTTTCCTCTTGAGTCGGGTGTCCAAATTAAATACCAGAGTGGCTTATATGTGGAAAAGAAAAAAAATCAGCAGAGTGAAAATTTATTTTTTGAAAAACCAGGAAGCATACAAATATGAGAAGGTACTGATTTTTTAAAAACAATTTTTTTTACACGAATACCTGCCTGTCACGTCTTTGTGACAGAAACAGATCGTCTAGAATCGTACACAGGATGGTTTGATGATTGAAATAAAAATAACATTTTTGTGGATTTAGTTAATTATGCCTTTTAATATAAATTGCAATAATATCTTCTGGAATTTCACTGTTGCTTCAAAGCCATAATTCAAGTTAACAATAGCCTTTTGCATCCTGGGATCGATAGGTCATCAGGTTATAGGTCAAATTTTAGAATGACAGCCATGCTTGTTGATGATATGAATGTCTTCATGTAACTTACAAGAAGAAATAATATGGAACAATAAGGATTTGTTCAGCATGGAACAGCCATTTAGTATTTAACAGTATAGACACTGATTGAATTATTGTTGAGTAAACCGACATAATGTTGGGCCCAATATCTGTGTGTAGACAATCTGAATAGTCCCCCACCATTGACATTTGCTATTTTATGTTCTTTGAAATACATCAGTAAGATAAAGGATTATTTGTGTGTGATTTATTTGAAATTTTATGAAATGTTTTACTGGTGATCTTGTAAAATGCCCTCCATTGTCTGTTGTATCAACAACTTTACTCTGTGTAACAGTTACCACTTCGTAAGAGAAGGTGCAATTTATACTCTGGCACTGCTTATATGTGGATGAAATAGAAAAAAATTGGTAATAATTGGCTCTGCGGCTTATAATCCATCAAATACAGTGTATCTAAGGTAGTGAAAAAATAATGCTACAACATTCATAATGTTCCTCATTATTATCATGCAGTGTTAGATAAAGATTCTGTAGAATGGTCTATAAAAGTCCTACTGTTCAATATATATCTCCTTAGTGACATAAGTGATAATATAGATGGTCTTATGAATGATCATAGTTATCAGACAACAGACAGATGAACAACAAGTTTAATTTGGCAGTACCTGTTGATTTCAGAAGGCATCTCTGGGGCATAGCACCGGGATCTCATTAGCAGTCAATATAGGCATCTAAAATGAAATATTCATGGGCAACCCTGTCCCAGCGTTGTATGTAATGTAGAGTTTGTAGTAAAGCTCATTCAATGACCTTTTGAGGCATAGGAGTTTAAAATGACCCCAGTTACTTTCAAGAATCATGTTCAAACTATATAGAAAGATCCCTTTTAAAACTAGAAATACCAGGCACAAACCCTGCTATATCTATATGGTCATTTAACAGGGTTTTCCATAAGAGCCGGTCGCCGGCCAATTTGACCGGCTTCTTTGATCATTTGGCCGCATATACCAATCCAGTTCCAGAATAATGTTCCATACACGACTACACATACACGGCAGGTCCACCCCAACTTCGCCGCGTTGGGGCTCGGGTCGGCTTGTTTCGTCAGCCTCCTACTTTCACTACACAGCCTACTACTAACAAAATTATGGAAAACCCTGATTTAAGTGATTTCACTATTTTTGTACATCATGTACAAAAATGTCTGCTTTTAGCATTCACTAATTCACAATATTGAAAAAAATATTAGATTCTTTTCATTTTTGTGGAAGTTTGAAATAGACTTACATTATTTGAGTGAATTGGTAGGCATAACAGCAGCTAGTAATTAGCAACCTTTTGGATATACATGTTGTACTTTACTGTAAAAATCTGAACTGAAACAGTATTAGGTTGTTTCCCTTATACTGTAGATTCTCTGCATGTTAGATTCAGAAAGAGTTATCGTTCTTGGTCCATTTGATGTCATTTAGTCATGGAGAAGTATATATAGTTTTATCCAATCAGAATGAAGTGAAATAGAGTTCACACATCACCAGATGAAAATCAATGATACTGATATGTCCAAAAATTAAAGAGAATATATATTTATATGAGTGATGTTACACCCTGTGATGTTAAAGTTCTTATCTGTCTTATGTGATGTTAGTTACAGCTGGTTTGTTACCTTTTATGCTATACTTTGTATGTGTTACCTGTGATGTTATACCTGTTGTATGTTACCTGTGATGTTATACCTGTTGTATGTTACCTGTGTTGTTACACCTGTTTATGTTACCTGTGATGTTACACCTGTTGTATGTTACCTGTGATGTTACACCTGTTGTATGTTACCTGGGATGTTACTTGTGATGTTACACCTGTTGTATGTTACCTGTGATGTTACGCCAGTTGTATGTTACCTGTGATGTTACACCTGTTGTATGTTACATGTGATGTTACACCTGTTGTATGTTACCTGTGATGTTACACCTGTTGTATGTTACATGTGATGTTACACCTGTTTATGTTACCTGTGATGTTACACCTGTTGTATGTTACTTGTGATGTTACCTGTAATTTTACACCTTTTGTACGTTACCTGTGATGTTATACCTGTGGTATGCTACCTGTGATGTTACACCTGTTGTACCTTACCTGTGATGTTACCTGTGATATTACATCTGTTGTATGTTACCTGTTGTGTTACATGTTATCTGTGCTGTAGCAGGCAATAATACATGTATGTGATCGGCAATGAGTGTTTCATTAGCATACTGCTACTTTAACATCTTGTTAATTGAACATGATGCTGCCTGTGATGTGATTGAGGAGGATCTGATGGCAATAAGATGTATGTTTAATAGGTGCAAACGCAGAATGTCAGACATGGCCTAATAAAAAGGATCATGCTTCTTGAAGTTTTTTTTTTTGGTTGCTTGTGATGTTTTATCGTAAAGAATTAACTTTAGTATAACAAACATGACAGAAGGTCTTCTGTATAGCTGATTTTTAGTCTAAACGTAATGTGGTTACAATTTCAACCTATTGTCACAGCCTTTGGAACTAGCTGTTGCTACCAATTTTAGCTTTCTGATTGGTGGAAATATTCCAACAGCTTATTAGTTACCCCTAGTGGCAGTTGTATGCTATAAACAATGCTGCCATCTTTCAAAATAATGTCAAGCCTACATACTGTCGCTTTACGTAAACCAAGTCTTATACTAAAAATTTACAGACAATGTGTCCATGAAAATATTTGGATTGAGTTTTTCGTCAGTCACTTACAAGTATTGGCTGGGGTTTGCAGAGGATTCTCTGAGCTGGAACAATATGGTGGAATGCACAAAATTACGGAATCAATGACATCTTTTCTTAGCAGTATATCCAAATATGTGCAAATATTGATAGCCTTATCGGTGACATGAAGAATCGTAAACTTTCTAGAAAATATTTTAGAATAATTAACATCATAGATTTGATCACAATATATCTCTTTTATGTTGATATTTGTAAATTTGAGTAATAGAGAATTAAGTTTTCCTCATTTACCAGTGGCACTCTACATTGCGTATCATATTAGAGGGCAACATCT